TTGCGAGAATTCGTGAGAAAGAAAGGAAGAAAAAGAGAGAGAGAGAGAGAGAGAGAGAGAGTGTGTGTGTGTGTGTGTGTGATTAAAAAGTCGTACATACCAGTTCGCACGGCTTTGTGGTTGTTTACTTGAGATCTAACCATTTTCAAAATTGGGAAAACAGCGAGCGCGATTGTTTATAAAGAGTGTGTGTTCGCGTTCGATCGCTCTTCAAATCCCGAAGATTGGATTGCCGAGGAAGCGACTTCTCGGCGAAAGCTCCGGCGGCAAGCTTTCGAACAAAACGACGAAAACGGGAAAGAGAGAAAGGAGAAAGAAGAATAAAAAAGTGTCACGCGCTACATGATGAATACGCACTCGTCGACTGAATGCGGACAAAAATCGATGTGACATGAAATTTTTGCTAAAAAAAAAACTGCTGGAACCACGAATCATCAGCGACGCAAGTAGTAACGTCCCGTCTGTGGCCAGCCGCGGTCGACCGTCGTCGTTGGATGCATTTCCCAGGGAATGCCGCGGCTGTTTTTCTTTTGACACAATTCGTGAATAAGTATCTCTTCAACAAATAATAACTGTCAATTACATTCGCAAGGCTGTCCCGCTTGTTGCGAAAAATATCGCGGCGCATTTCGGATGCAGAGAATTCCGATAATCAAAGTGAGATAATTGGAGCGATTTAAAACAGCAGTGTGATGTGATCACGTTGATAATTTTACGTATATAAAACACGGAGCCAAACTCATACTTTGATACTCGTTATAGACTCGTATTGAATACGGTTATATTATCTCTTTTCGCCGTCTGCTTCGCGTCGAGTTTCGTGCTACACACAGAGAAATATCATTCTGCTGCTAAGAAAAGCAATTGTTCGGTCTACTTTCCTTTCGAGTAATGGTTATCTTCAACAAAGAATATTTTCTCGGTAATAGTCTTAAAATTTGCTCATTAAATTTGAGAAAGCTCATTATCGTGCATTGGAAGAAAGAATTCGTTTTTTTGCAAGAATATTATAAAACTTTATCAAAGAAAAATTTTGTTCCACTGTACGCAGTAAACAAACTGAGTTTTCGTTTGAATTTAATATTTGAATTTAATATTCTATAGATTGAAATGCTAAACTCACCAGGATCTAAAATGGTTGTTGAATAAATTTGACATTTCTGATGAGTTTGTGACATATTTGTAAGTATAACTTACGAACTACTTGATATAATTAACATTCGACTTGAATGCAAAATGTTTTTTCCTATGTGTATCGGTTATATCTAGAATTTGTCCGTTCTACACCAATGACACCTCGGCGTGACACATTTCAACGACGAATGCCGGACCCTGCGCTGAAAATATTCTTCGCTGCGCGAGCCTCATCGGCTTAGAACGAAAATACACGGCTTTGAAAACAGAATCGATTCTCGTGGCGCCGACGTTGAATTAATATTCCATGCATCGACGGTCGGGGGTCGACGGACCTGGCGAAACGCAGGGCGCTGTCAGGTGTTCGCACACGATGACGATGACGACGACGACGACGGCGACGGCGATGGCGCCGAAGGGTCGGCCGCGACTCGGTTTCGCGGAGCGTGCACTGTATAACAGGCTTTGTCACAACGGCCGAGCGAGAAACACTCAACGCGTAACGTTCGCAACTTTGTGAAGGAAAGTGGCCGATTAAGAGGGCGGGAAGTATTAAGGGACGATCGTGAGGTTAACTAAACGCCGCACAATGAAGTCAAATCTCATGTTTCTAAAAGGTCACAGTCCAAAATTTGAACCAACTTCGATGCGCTATTTTTTAGCGAAAACTAATGAAATTTGAAACGACATTGTCGAGTCAGGTTTTTGCCTTTTGTTTCCCTTTTTCTAAACCAGATACAAAGAAGTTAGATTTAGAAATTTTTGTTAAATTAAATGAGATATAAAATGAGTTATCTATTGATTGATCGAAAAACAAATTCAACTTCTTTATGTGTGATTTAGAAGAGAAGAAGCAAAGGACAAAAATCTGACTTGACGAAGTTGCTCCAAATTTCAGTAGTCTTCATTGAAAAAAAAAAAATCGAAATTGATTGAAATTTCAAGACTAATCTTTTTTTGGAACATGAAATTTCATTTGACTCCATTATGCGCCAAGGATGCTGGGCGCAGAATACCAGGAAAAAGACGAGAGAGAAAAGGGAAAGCTAAAGATGTATATTTAGATACGCGGTCAAGTGGACAAATAAATTAGCTCGGGAAGGGATTGCGTCGTTGTGCAGCTTAATAACCGAGTGAAATGCATTAGGTGATACACGATTGTCCGCGTGGAAGTTGCGTCGACCTGGGATTTCTCAGTATCGTGGATACCGAGGACATCGGAGGAAAAAGTACGACGACCGTGACAACGACGAAGAGGACGAGGCGGAGGGGCAGGAAAAGAATGAGGTGGATGAGGACGACGACAGGGCGATGCTTATTAAGGATGCAACCCCAGCTTTAATTCGCCTAAGATGACGACGTTGGCGATCCTGGCCGCCTACTTCTCGTAATTAGATTCTTCGTAGCGCCGACTAGGTGGGTAGGCAGGTCCGAAGTTTATATCGCCACGGCTATAATTCGCGAAAGTTAGGTGTAAACTAACTTGTAGATCCGTAGGATAAGACAGAGAGACGAGAGGGAAGATTCGGCACGGACGGGGCCAAGTTTCGCACGCTTGTAGATGGAGGCGGTCGGTCGATCGGTCAGGTGTACGTACTCGCGTTGTACACGCGAACCCGCGAAAATAATCCCGGCAAAATTACCGCCGCAATTCTTCTCAGTTACGTAAGATCGCCGCATCCATCACTGTCGGCGGAATAAGAAATTTTGCAGCTGCAAGTTATAGCTTAGATTCCCGTGTTCTGCAAGAAATGAGCCGCTTCTTTCGGATTTCCGCGAGCTAAACCTCCAAGAGGGACTTTTTGGTCGTCACAGACGAAAACATCGTTTTTACTATCTTCTTATACATATCTAATCGACTTTTCGTTGTGCTAACTAAAGATAGTCATCGTTTGCCCGTGTAATTGACGATAATAAATGCACAAGAACTTTAACAAGGCTCTTATTGGTCACTTGATCCTTCCTCTTTTAGCTATTATCGTTGAAAGAGCCAATTTAACTTCTATATTTCAAGAACAGAATCTAAAATTTCATGTAGAAAAAGAGCTTTGTCTGCTTAAGCATGCGTGTAAAAATTCCTGGATTCAATTATCGTGATTTCTGTCGTTGAATTTCAAATAAAATCAAATCAACTACATTCGTCGCGGTTTCCGATTCAGAATTGAACAACGGCATAGCACGGCACGACCAAGATTCGACGCGTCTCGTGTCATTAACGTTTCTGCCGTGGTTAATGCACTAACTATCGGGTCGCTAAGGGGAAGCCCGCACGGCCCGATCGGGCATTAGCATTCGCTAAATAACGAGGACTATTAGGCGACCGATAAACCTCGGCAAACGAGACGTGAGCACACGGTTCATCCCCGGCTGGTTTCATCTCATTGACAGGGTGGTTAAGTTCAGGTTTAGGTTTCTCAACATATTAACGATCCCACATCGCCGACACGTTACTGTCTTTCCTCCACCATCCTCTCGCCGTTATCTAAACATGATTTTCACGAGTAAAGGGAGAGCGCGTTCACCTCTCCTTGTCTCTTCTGGAGGTTCTACACAACTTACGACGGCGACCACGATGAGGAAGCGCACCCCTCATATCGCGGCAGGGATTAACGTGAATCGAATAAAGTAATCCGAATGTCAGAGTTACCACATGAGACACTTCCTTCTTCCGTGTCCGCCGTTTCTCGAGGGAAGTTTTACGAGCGTGCTTTTCTTCCCCTCGTGACTTTTGTCGCGCGACGAGAATACGAAGAACTCTGCTGTACTTGCGCGACGCTGGTCATAAAACAGAGGGTGGTTTGCGGTAGATATACAGGCTTTTCTTAAAATCATACTTTAATAGCGTATTCTGGGGCTTCGTTAGAATCATAAATTCGGATACTAAAATGCTGAATGAATCAATACTTTTGAAGGTGTAAGCCAATGGAAAAGGCTGCTTCTTCGCAAACTTTACACGTGGAGAGTAATTTTCTGATAAAAATTATTGTAGAATTTCGTAAACGAAAAATCGACATTCTACAGCAATTAACTATCCTTTCATTTCATACACGATATTTATATTTTAGGGACTTAGAAATTAATATATTTAATGAAAAACTTGCTATATGTTTCTAGCGAAATCTGTGTATAAAATAGAATGCCTGTATATTCCCTATAATTCCTAAACCTTTTGACCAATTTGAATTGGTCCAAATTTTGCATAATTACTCTCTAGGACCTTGCGGAAAATATACAGACTACCATGAAATCATGGACGCACCTCAATCTCTTGCCTTGGCTTTATCTCCTTGACGTTTTGCGATAATCCAGACAACGTCGGGTTTAAACTAGTTTACTATGTTCCTTAGCAAGATAGACTTTACTAACAGTCTATTCCTACGTTCTCTTAGAGAGAAATATAGAAAAATTGAAAAGGATTTATATGAAAAAAAAATTATAGTATGTTCTCTCCGTGCAGAAAGTTGACTGATTAACAAAATAACATTTTTTTGGAGTATATTCGGCCAAAATTCTAATTAGAAGTTTAGTTGAGAGAATAAAAATATTACAAGTTGGAAGTTGCAATATGAACACGGCGAGCTATCTCGATATTTTCGCTCAAGGATCTCCGACTCCAATTAAGCTCCACGATACGTAATTGCTTCGATGGTTTTGGTACAGCCTGTATATTCGCGGGAATCAATCTCCAAGGGTAAAGGGAAAGTAATCATATAGATATAAGATCCCGACGTATCAATATTTTTCCGAACGCAATCTCCTTCGCTCGCGAGCAGTGATTCATTCGGCGGTGAAATATATCGACTCGGCGGGTCACAGGCACGAACACACACGGCGTAAAAATGCAATAGAAGGGCGAAAAAACTTACGGGTTCCATCGAAACGTGTGGCGATGGTATCCAAGAAAGTATTCTGCGGCGCGAGGAGGCCCTTCCTGACTGGCATTGGTGCCGCTCCACCGCGCTGTGAAGCGCACGAGCCTGCAAAATAACATAATTATTAGTGACATTATTCGTTAAAACATGGCTGACGCGGTTATTACGCAACGTGCGCAAGCGGTTTGCCAATAAAATGCAGTCCGATAAATGAGACCGCGCGTTTATTCGCTCGGCGGCCTTTGTGAGTTTTAACAGAACTCCCCTGCTCTACCCCGATATTAAGTTTCGCACGTACGTGCAAAGACGGAAAGGCGCACATGTGCGAATTGCGTGCGCGCGAAAATGTACGTGGAATCGAGGATTCTCAAAAGATAACTTAAAGGCCTTTGCACGTAGAAAAATTTTAACCGTAACCATAAGGTTGTAAGAAAACTGACCAATCACAGTCGATTATTCTACGAACGCAAGGAGAATAATCAACTCTGATTGGTCAGTTTTCTTATGACCTTACGGTTACGGTTAAAATTTTTCTTCGTGCAAAGGCCCTAAAGGCCAAATCACACTAGCGATTGGCGATAGATGATTGACGATTGAAGATTGGAACTTGACCAATTGGGACAAAGCAAGCCAAGGCTGAAGCTTGTTGATTCGTTAAAATCTAATCTTTAATTGTCAATCGTCAATCGCCAATCGCTAGTGTGATTTGGCTTTAACGGAGGCTCCTTGTTATCGGGTCTCCTTCTACCGGAAGCGATCCGATCGTTCCTCGTAGTTTCTCGTAATCGAGGAATCATTGACCGTTCGTAGTCGAGGAATCATTGACCGTAGTTTCTCGTAGTCGAGTAACCGAGTTAGTACCGGCACTCTGCGCCTCGCGTATCTCGGAAATATATATGCAAATCAGTCAGTCAGCGCGTTATACGCGCGCCTTGGAGCGTTCGTGTGTTTAATGAATTAATTATAAATTTAATGAAAACAAAAGAGAGAGAGAGAGAGAGAGAGAAAGAGAGAGGAAAAGAAAGAACAAACTATCGACCCACTTGTTTGCAAAACATCGATCTTACGTAATCGTCGATGACGTGAATGAAAATTGTTCACGACGGGTGGACAATTGGCTACGCACGGCGATCCGAATCAATTTCCTAGTACGAAATAAATAAAATTTTGAAGGAAATAAGTTTTTTTTTTCGGAAATTTCATCACCTGATGGAAATATTGCTGACGTTTGCGGATATTAAAATCGTGTTACATCTAAGCGATGATTATTAAAGGATTTAAAAGTAAAGTATATATGTGCGCGGTTTACATAGTTACTCTAATTTCTTTTCACAGCGAAGCGTTTGGTATTATTTCGTGAAAAACAATAAAAATATAAGGGTTCAAAGAGAACAGACACGATTACTGAATTCAAGGAATGTATGTATGCAAAGAGATACATTAATAAAAATTTACTCGAAGGAACTTGAAGTTACGTGATATATTTATCAAATATTTGTCATTTAGTTGTGTATTCTAATAATTAATATTTAACATCATACTTCGACAGTTACAGAGCAAAATAGCTGACAAAAAGTGGTATTAGTAAATCTAATTATTTTGTGCTGGAAAGCGGAACTGGGCCACTGTGTTACTTCCATTCAAATTGCAGCGTTCACGTCAGCATTGTGCGAAGTGATTCGCGATCGGGAGTTGCAACGTTTCTGTAAACGTCGTCGTTTTTCTGGTGTCTAAACCGATGGAAAAATTTGTTGCAATTCTATGTGTGTGCACGCACGCGCTTAAAGCGTAATAAATATTCACGAACGTACACTTTAAGTCCTCGTGTTATTTGCGCCCATAGATATTCCGCCACTATTCGTGTGCGCTTAGTATAAATTATTCTGGTCTTGCTTGCGGGCGCGTACGTGCGCGACGCTATTTAATAACGCTTTCATAACGGCGAGGTGAGCCCTATATAGCTCCTGCGATTTTTCGCTTTCAACGCTGGAAACGTGATACAGATTCCCGGCCGTTTCCCGACGTTAATAACGAGAAATCGTTTACATCCTTCATCTTGAGCTCTCTAAACTGAGAGGGAAGTGTCTGCTTGCTACATGCGATTATAATCGCACAGTGAAATAGTTACAGACGGAAGAACCATTATAAATAGCACGTGTAGCGTGTGTTGCGGCAGTGTTACTAATAACAACCGTACATACACACAGGGAGAATTTTATAATAAAAATTACTATGGAAATTTGTAGCCACGAAACAGATCGACATTCCGCAGTGATTGATTACACGGAGAGAACAAAATTTTATAGTAATTTTTATTACAAACCTTTCTTCGTGAATCCTTCATTTTACATATGCTATACATATTTTAGATATTGAAACTGCTATTAAAAAATTTACTATGTTTCCAACGGAATTTTAAAAAATTTACTGTTCCAAGATACTATGCCAATTTACTGTGATCCAATTTACTGTGGCAAGATATATTTTCCAGACAGTTTATTTCTGCATCACTAAAAATGTATAGTAAAATTGAAAAAAATTTGTATGAGAAAAAAGGATTACAACATATATTCTCTCCGTGAAGTTGAAGTTGTCACTTCATTGCTAAAACAACTGAAAATGATAATAATTTTTACGAAATTAATAATTCTCTTTTTCTCTTTCAATGTAGTTTTCAGAATAGAAGGCAAACAAAAAAGTAAAACTTAAAACCCGAAAATGTAATATCGCGCAATGCGTGTATGTGTATTAAGCGCTGTTTTATTTCAATAAAGCGCACGACGCGACAGTTTTGTATAATTTTTGGTTCGACAGATTAATTCGTGGAGATTAAAATCCGGCTTTGTTCGAAGTGACGGGGAGTCTCGCGAGTTGCCGTTGGGAAAACATTTTTCCCCTGTACGCCGCAAAGTCTGTCTGACATATTTTCTGCGTGGAAATTGCCGGTCGTTCGAGCGTGGCGCATTTTATCAGCGACATTTAAGTGACGGTATTAATTGTTCGCGCACGTTGCGTTTGCTAAAACCGATTGATGGCAGGGCCCGGCCGAGATGGCCGTGAGAAGCGAGAAATCACGTTTGATATCCAAAATTACGCTGAGTATTATTTCAGATCACACATTTCGTCCCTTTCAGATCATTTCAACGATCTACAGCTGCAGACGAGCAAGTTCGCTAGAAAATTTCGCGCGTCGAATTTCGCTGGTCAGGCCGCGTTCGGCCAGGTGAAACTCCCGTCGCGGCTCGTAACGATCGGGGCCAACTCAACAGCGGCTTGAAATCACCGAAAGCCCGATACTTCTTTACTCATTAGCCAATATATCGCGACTTGATGATATTGCGAGGCCGCGCAGCATAGAGTAGCCACGGCTCATTTTTTAAGACCGAACCAGACAGAACAAAGGAACGCATTACTCGTTTCACCGTTTTTTGCCTCTCGTTCGTTCAACCAACAGGTTGTCTTTGTCGACGCAAGGTAGGACTGTGAGACCCTTTGGAAAATTTTTGCCGCGCTGTTACGTTTCGCTGAATCATTAACTCCCGCTTTGACATACGCGTCCGGGTCTCTCGCCTGTTTAGCATGTGAATGTTCGGGATTATGATAAATTTCAAACAAGCCCAGCTCGTTTTTATTGACCGCGGTGACGCGAGTATTATTCCACCATTATGCATGCAGAGAGGAACACAAGTACTGAGAAAGAAAGTGTTTGATATTCGCGACTGTAATCGCGTAGTGCCGTAATTACAGCCTAAAAACGCCGCTTTTCTTTGTGAACGCTACTATAGCGTTATCATCGGTAACTTTGCATATATAATCGCCCCTATTAATGTTTTTGTATCGAAACAACGGAAAATATGATTCGCACTGAAAATCGCGAAAATTCGAAGCGAGATCAACAGTTTTTTTACTCTCTCTGCATATGATATATTCATTTTTTTATATTAATAAAGGCAGGATTGTTATTTTGTAACCTTTTAGCAATAATAAGACATTGTTGTTGGACATTATGGCGCAGATAATAACTACTCGCGTAATAGTTGCGCGATGATGTTTAACGACTGCGATATTGTCGCTCCCAAGCAGCACGAAACATTCATGCCAATATTGAATCTATATTAGCCAACCGTTGGCTAACTAATATGTGCTGCTCGGGTTGGAGATTTTTTACATTGCTAATCCAAGTGTGTCATTGTTAAACGTACAAGCGTGTAATTCGGCCGAAGGTCTTTTCATACGTTTCTTGGGACTTTAAATCACGTCGTTTGAAATTAGAATTTAATAATGTAAATTAACGTAACATATTAAATAACATAAGTGGAAACGACAAGAAACGAGTAAAAAGCGATTCAGCCGAAATGAAACGCTTGGATTTACAGTGTATGATTAATGAAACATGCGTTTGCAGATCGCGAGATATCGATCTTCGTGCATAACCCGGGTACCGAGAAAACCAAAGGAAACCGTGCCACTTTGTGAGGAATACTCACCTTGTGGAGAAAACGATCACGCTCACAGCTCGAGCATCTTCGACAACGTCGCGAGTATCCCACCCGATCTGGCTGCTCGGCACCCTCTCGGGGAGTTCGCCGATCGAATGGAGGGATCCGGTCGGACTCGGGGCGACGCACTCGAGCGCACTACGGGATGGCACGAGCAACAGAAACGGCAGCAGCAGCAGCAGCAGTAGCAACAATAGCAGCAGCAGGAGCAGCAGCAGTAGCAGCAGCACCTCGGGACGCACACCGGCCGCGTGAATCGTACGCTGGCAATCGCGTAACTGACCGAGCCGAGGGGAGAGATGCCGTCTATCCTGATGGCCCGGGCTCCTGGCTGACTTGCGCCCCTCGCATCGAAGCGCAACATGTGGTAAAACCGTGGTAGGTACAGACACACGCGAGTCTCCCGGTTGTAGGTGAGCGCACGAGCGTGTACCTCCGACGAGTAGTTCACCCTGTGCCGCGCCGACCCCTTGGCGAGTCTCTCTTTTCCTCCCTCGCTGACACTCGCTCCCGCTCGCTCGTTTCCTTGCTGAAAAGGGAAAGAGAAAGAGAATAAGCAGGGGTTGTGCAAACGCGCGCGCGCTCCGAGCGTCTGCTACTCTTTTGCGCGCGCACGTGTGTCTAAAAAATCTAATACAATCGTCACATGGAGCATTGGAAATTCGGTGCTTGAGATTTTCCTTTTTTTCGGTTTTAAGCTCTTCGAGCTTAATCAAGCGCACAGCTCGTTTTTACTTGCACGAGAAAGTCCGTGTCGCCGACGCTCGAGGCCCGGACTTCGACGGATATTTGCAATTCGGAGCGGAATTCGCAACGAGAGAGATTCTATTTGTAATTTTGCATGGCACAGGTAATATGGAAAACAGCTGAGTCACATTGAAAAATCTGATAATATTTTCTCTCTCTCTCTCTCTCTCTCTTTCCCTATCTCTCGCAGAATTTTATTCGCGAATAAAATTTCAATCCCGAATTCCGAAATCGCGAATTATGGATCGTTTTAGAGCTTAATCTCGACCTCAACTGCAACCGCGAATCTTCTCTAACAGAGAAGCGCAATCTAATGAGCTTCATTATGCACATCTATGTGTACTGACCCGCGGTATAGCCTTAACGCACAATGTAATTAGGTTATTAGTATTCTGCAACCATACATGTACGTTTCTGGATATTAGCGTAAAGGTATTACAGCGATAGATTACTCGACTCGGCGTTGCCTCTCTTCTTTAAATAATCAATAAATGATGAATCAATAATGTGTGCGGTTGGAAAATCCTAATAACCTACTTACCTAATCTTCATCACACTATCAGATCAATCATTTTATACACCGGGAGAATTTTATAGTAAACATTGCTGTAGGATTTTGCAATCAAGAAATGGATCGACATTTTGCAGTGATTCACTCTATCCTTTTATTTCATATGTGCTATTTCTCGGTAAATATCGAGCATTAGTTACTTTACATCTATGTTATAATTTCGCGCCATGTTTCTAATGAAATCTGCTACGTTTCTAACAAAATTTACCGCGTTTCTCAGCGAGATAGTTCTTACTGATGATCTACTTCTATGTGTATACGTGTGAACTATTAGAAACAATAAATAAATAAATAATAAAATTGAACAGAATTTATATGAAAAGAAACTATAATATTCTCTCTCCGTGTACTATCAGGTCACTATACTGTCATATCTCAATGAGACAAAATGTTTGATATTTCTAGCTATAATCACACAGAGAAATAACTATAGATTATGATAAAGAAAATTATTTTTTCTCTCTTATTAAATTCGACTATAATGTTAGTGACAATAACTTTACATGTATGTTACTACTATCATTTTTGCGTGTTGGAAGAGCCAAATTTTAATTGAGACCAAGAATAATTATAATTTTAGTTAGATGAACCATTTTTCTCTGCATCATAATATTATATTATCCAATTCGCTGACAGAAATGTAGGAGAGTTAATCCCACATCTGGCAGCCCTCGTTTCCCAAACTTGTAAATATTTTATCCGAAACTCTCGAATTATCTACTTTTTTGCGAAGATACGCATAAGTTGGGATGAAAATCAGCGTGAGGCCGCGTCAGCATGATGTCGGGCCCAAGACGAAATCCAGGGACTTGACACTGACGGATTGCCAGCTACTAAGTCTCTCCCATCTCCCTCACTCCCCATTTGCGTGCGTAGCAAGTTGCGAGATGGCACATCCGTTATTCCGTTCCGGTGACGTCGTCGCGATGCTCATTCGTCTGTCCATCCGCGCGAGCCTCTTCCGCGCCTTTCCTCTCCCCTGCGAAAAGAACGCGTCGCCCCCGCGGCCGATATATTTTCGTTCGTCGTTTGGCGTTTTACGACGGCAGTTACGGCAGCTCCGGGCCGGCGCTTACCTTATTTTCCAAGGCCGCCGCGAAGGCGCGTCCCGGAGTAAACACCCTTCTCGCTTTTAGCCAAGAAAATCGGATTTCTTATACAATTTTTTTCACGCCCGCTGAAATATCAGGTATCAAACCGCCGTGAGTGTGTATTCGCGCGCGGGTGGGCGGACATGTGTATGTTTGCGTGTCAAACGCGAGGTGGAACGACGAGTCGCGAAATATTAGAAGAGGAAAAAACAAGCGAAATGCAGAGCGGGGGTGGATCGACTTTTTCGCGTATGTGCAGGTCGCGCGCTCGTTCACCACTCACCCCCTCGCACCGCGTCTCGTGCACGGTCTATATTGAATAAAGTGTTACCGTAGGTCAGTTTGATGGTATTGTGTAAAGCATCCCGAGACCAAAGAGGGTCGATGACTGTATTCGCGTGCTAGTCCTTCATGAACAGGTCGCGACAATCTGCAAGCGTTCCCGATATAGATCGTCCGTCGTGAAAGGAAGAGGAGGAGAAGAGAGAAAAAGAGATGGAAAAAGATTGAGAGGAAGAGAGAGAAAGGAAAAAGGGTTCATAGGCCGGACGCAATTTCAAGCTACGGGAAGCCGTAACTCACACTGAGAAAAAAATGCTTGGTATTTGTAACCGTAATCGCGCAGAGAAATATTTATTATAAATTATAGTCACGAATACTATCCTCTTTTGTAAATTCTGCTATAATATTCAGTTAATATACTATAAGGTTTACTTAAGATTATGTACGTATAATATACTATACTACAAAGTTATACTATAAAATCAATGATAATGGCCTTATATATTACTACTTTATATTGCTATTTTATACATTATTATTTTACTACTATTTTATACTGTTTTATATTACCATTTTCATATTAGAGCTATCAAAAAGAAATATGATTAGGGCCAAAGAAAACTATAATTTCAGTTAGGTCAAGCCTCTTTTTTTCTCAGTACGATTATCTATTTTAATACAGACGCGATTTGCGGATAAGATGAGGATCCAGATAACGTTCACGAGCGAGTACACGTCGGGAAACTGATTAGGGTGAGGCACTGCCTCATTGCGTTAAGTTAGAATTAAGGCAGCGGTAATCTTGCTGAGATAAAATATTGAGAGATCCGCGATCTTTGTTTCACTGGCGAAATTCGACCTCATTTCGCGCGTACACCAAGAAATCCGAATTACCGGGAACGAGGCAACAAATTATAAATTACGAATTGAAAAGGCGCGCTGGCCGAGGCTCCGGCTCAGCGAACGGTAATCGAGATAGATTTGGGTTAATGAAGAACGATACCGGTGTCGGCGGGTGTCGTTAACCTCTAGGAAATGGATGCTTCTGATCCATCAGCTCGTCGCTTTTTACGTCGCTCGAAGGGATGATATATTGTCGCGTCTCGTCGTGTCCTCAGGAGGTGGAATGATGTTCCGTGTGGAATGGAACATCTCCGTGGAGGAAATAATTTGTCTGCCTACGCGCGCAACAACTACTTCGAGTTCGTCTTTTATCGCTGAACTAATATACACTTGCGGAACTGAAAAAGAAACAGGTGTACAGCTGAGACTTGATGGGAGAAAGGAGAGAAGAGAACTAGAGCAAGTTTGACGATAGAAAACAAACTTCGAGACTGCAAAACCGCGCGTTTCAATGGCTGCCGCACGCAGAATGCGGAAACGCTTGCCGCGCCGCAGGGAACGCCAATCAGCGCGCCGCGTTCCGCGAGAGCTTCAAGCTTATTCGTTACTAGCCGCTACTTCGCCGCTTGGTGCGCGCCAAGCGCTTCCGCGTCTTGCGCGCGGAAGTTTAAAAATATCGCGCGCTTGTTCGATCGTAAAGTCGCGACCTAATTTTTAAAGCCGCGTTCTCGAAGCGCCGCCGTTGACTGAAAATTGCTCACGTCTTCCAGGAGACCGAGCACCATGATCATTAATTTCCTCCGCACCACTTGTGGTGTTTATTTCTCCCTTGTGGTGCTTCTTTAAATATTTTATGCGCATTCTCAAATATTTGATATACCCGCATCGCACGACATTAGCGTATCAAAGTTCAAAAGTAGAAACATTTTGCATGGAATTCTGATTCATTTAATCGACGATGCAAAATTGCTATCAGCCAAACCACGATCGTTTGTTTTACCTTCCTAACACAAATATATGGAGAAAATATTGTAATAGAAATTATAATATTTTTGTATCTCTCTCTCTCTCTCTCTTGAATCATATAGAGAGAGAAATTATAACTAAAATTATTATATATTTTTTCAAAAATGTTATGCACGCTTGACATTTTACTGCAAAATTATTGCAATTGCTTCAATATTTTTTATATTATATACTTCTATTAGTTTCTTCTCTATAATATATTTTTATAATAACTTATAGTACAATATTTCTATAGTATTTTTATAGTAACTTATATCATAATGTTAATCCAGCCTTATAAAAAAAATGTTGTAAAAAGAAATATAATTTCAAAGTGATTTTGCAATATTTTCTCCGTGTAAAAATTGTAATTTTGCAAATCAAAATCACACAATTCTTGTATCTAACTTATTGCGCTGATATTTCACTTTTTGTTCACAATGAAGTTAAAGTTAAGTTACAATTAAAGAAATTGATAACATTCATCAGCAAGTTATATAATTTTAAATTGCTATTGTTAATTGCCCATTATTATTTTAATTGAAATTTAGTTGCAAACTATAAAAGTACTCATGATAATGTTACAGCCATGGCTAAATAAATAAATCGTCCTTCCCATTCAAGTCATTTCCTTGGCTTCTCGCGATTTTCATCTTCGTGCCCGTAAGCCAGAAATCATACTTGCGTCACGTTCTGCCTGCAACACGCGTCAATTCGCTTCTCTCCACGACGTGAACTTCGATTTCACGTCGGGAGAAACTCGCGAGGGTATCGCGGACTTGCTCGTTTTCGGAGTAGCGCAACGAGAATCGATGGAAAATTCGCTCGACTGCGCGGGGGAATCGTCAGTGTCGGTGGATTATACGAACAGCGGGGTGTACAATGGACAACGAGCAGTCACGAGACGCACGGGGGTCCATATAATCGATACTCGCCGGTACTTACGTCTTGGTAGGCAAACTCGTAAGCGAAAACAAGAAAGGGTGTGGAAGGAAGAGAAGAACGGTTGAAAAACGGGAGCCGGTTTGTCCTGTTTCGCTCTGAGAATAACCGTCGAAACTAATAAAAATTCATCGGCACAAACGGTCTAGAGCAGCCGTGTTCTCAACACGTTCCATCTTCTGCAATTTGTTGCGCACTTTTAATTGTTCTCTTTGTTTTTCCTCTTTCATTCTCCCTCTGTTCTCCTGCTTTCCCGTTCCGCTCGCGGGCGAACCAACACCACCCTCTAGCCAAGCTTTTCTCTTTCAACCGTAGAGTGAATTTACGAGTCAGCGAGTTTGCCTCACGTGCGATTTATTCACCGAACCTGCCGGAGAGATGGTCGTTAATTAATTATTAACCGCTACACACACACACACTCCCACATACTGAGAGAAGAAAATACTCACCGCAGGAGAGAATGTGCTCAATAGAGTCGGCGAGTACCTCACGCTCCGTCTCTCGTAAATGTCGTCGAGGTATTTTCGGCCGAGAGCCGCGTGTTACGCGTCTTCCTGGAACAAAAGTCTTAAACGTGAGACCGCGTCACCGGCAACGCACACGTGTCTCATAAATTTGAAGCTGCCAGGACGGTGATACGAACAGATACACGCCGGAACCTTATACATTATTCAAGAGGAAGCAGAGAGATAAAAGAAGAGGCAGTGTAAAGTCTTGCGCGTAAAATTTGGAAAAAAACAGAGTGGCGTTTGAAATTGCCGACGAAATCGCATCATTCGCCCGCGCGGCCTCCTCGTGGATACAGATATTCTCATATCCACAGTCGCGATAGCATATCAATGTGAGCGAGCGGTCAAAGGGTGAATCGCAGCGTGCGTTTACATTCGTCGGCCCGACGTGTTATTTGGATTCCATTAAAATTAGCGGTCTCGAGAGCCGGCATGGATTTACCTAACGAATTAAACTGGATACTCGCGCGGGGCCACTTCGCGCTGTCTGCCGGCGACGGATAACGAGATTAAACTTTAGTTACGACCGCATTAACGCGAACAGATTTGCTAAAATCGTCGCGAATTCTCAGCACGGTGATGTTTTTCGCTCCGGTGAGAAACACGCTTCGTCACGCGAGTGTACTCGAAAAACATTAAAAAAAAAAGAAGCAAGTTAACATCGGGATGTAACGCACATTTCGAAATGAATAACGGAAACGGAGACGAGTTACCTTCCTTCAGAATTGAAAGAATTTTAATTAATATTTCTATCTAATTTCAAGAGTAACTCGTTGCTGTTATATGCTTACTCGTTGAAAAAACACATTATCGTTGTTGATGAAAATGGTGAAAAGTGATAGTAACACTAATATTACATCAATATTATAATTCCCCACTCTACGATATAAATGTTATATCGCATTTACATTGTTGAATAGGAAATAACATTGATGTAATTAATGATTAATTGATTTAATTGGTATCTACTGGGTAACGCCGTTACTTCCCAACACTGCTTTTTACAATGCGCAACTGTGACGAGTCACCTTTTCCTAGGACTATGAAAGCTACGTTTTAAGAGTGCCTTATCGTTATTTGAGAAATGTAATTTATACGTTACTGGTGGCGTAATCTGGTATTATTGGCAAAAAGGTAACTTGTAACGCGCGCGCGATAACGTCATTACCTAAGTTCTAAGTCTGTCATATAACGATACACGATAACGAGGATTTTAAAGGATAACTTTTCCCAATTTAAGGAAAACTTGAGTATTTTTCTATGTAAGAAACGCTGAACGTGCGAGCCGCGGCTCGCTGCGCTGTTATCGCCTCTCGTTATCGCGCTCACCCCCGCCGTCGTGCTTTGCAGCAGATAACGCGATCGTTCACCATCGGTCTTTATCACCGTGAGCGCGTGGGTGAGCGAGCGAGCTGCGATCCATCGATACCACCGCCGTGTGCCCAATCTCGAAACTGTGTTACGCGGGCCGGCGGGCCGCACGGCGTGTCCGCGCGCCCTTAATATCGCCAACCCCGTTTCCCAGCTGTGTTCCCGAGCTCTGACGGAGCTCGCGAATGGTGCCAGGTGCAATGACTGCCCGATGTAGCGACATTAAACGCCGCCGTCGGCTGCATTGCCGCATTGCCGATGTCGTGCCGGCCGTAACCGCGGCACGCGGCGATGTACGTGTGCTTTTTCGCTCGCCCTCTCGCCTTCACGCTCAGCCTATCTCTTTCTTTCTCTCTCCCTTTTCCACCCGCCCGTGCACCCTCACAGGCCACCGACTTTCTGAACCTTAAGGGGTGGACGACTTATCGACCTGATGCTAGTCAGGCCTACCACCCTTAATCCCGCCGGTACTTCAATCACGCGTTCCGATAAGCGTTCGGAAATTGGACCGGTCTTCTCTCAGGGATCATCCTTTTCAAACATGTCCTGTAGGGTGAACGTGCTACCTTCGTTCCGTCGCGCTCCGTAGCAGTCACCGAAATGTGTAAATATATATATATATATATATATATATATATATATATATATATATATATGTATGGCTAAGTAAATATCAAACTCTGACGACGACTCTGCTTGACTGCCGAGTGAAACAATTATCGAGACATCACCAGTGGTTCCGCTGCGAATTGCGCGAAGAGAATCATCCGTCGGCGGGAGTTCTTCGCAATTAGAGCCGGAGAAAGTTTGTTGATTCTTAACTTGCAGCTCTCGAAGCGCTGAAAGGATACCAGAGTCTCATCAATTAGCTCATACTTAAGCGCGGAAATTTCTAAATAAACAAAAACATTTACAGAGCCTTCGCGCTTTTATCGGAGTCCATCGCCGCTTTAGGTCTGTTGTCTGCGTTGAAAAGCCCCCAAGATCTATTACCTGGCGCGGTGTCCTTTCCTCGCCAACGAGCAATCTAACCGGGGTAAAGCAGGGCGACGAGGACGACGACAACGACAACGAGATCGCGATCGCGCGAAATTAGAACACCGCATTCGTGTGGGTCGGTCGCTCGCCTCTCCTGATGGGACATCAATAGGAATAATACGGGGAACTAAGCGGCGCGGCGAAAGATACATAGGTAGAGGAGCGGAGTGTAACGACCTTACACCCCCGCAAGTAGCGGGATCGATGGTCTCGAACTCCGGGGGCGAACTCTCATCCGTGCGGAGCGCGGCGGCCCAGGTCGTTTCCGCCGTTCGTGGGCTGTCCTACTTTTCGATCACGTTTCGCCCGTTGTTGCCCTGTGCTCTCTCCCTCCCTCCCTCTCTCTCTCCCCTCTCCTTCTCACTCTTTCGCTTTTCACATCGTGTCACGGGTTTGCACGACCCGACGGTCTGCCGACGGGTTTTGCGACGTTTCGCCGATACGTCGTGACATACGATCGTGCGTCCGCGTTCCCTGAATCAGCACGAATTTCGAGAAGGCAATTTGCTCTTTTGGATATTGCTTGCTCGTTGAATTCTGCAGTGATAAAGATACAAACACAGAGAGAAAGAAAGAGAGAGAGAGAAATTCCGAAAGACTGTTGATCTAAATTACAAAAGTATATTATCTGGAACATTTACAGTATAAGACGGCAATTATCCGGTGCACATAATGCAATATCTTGGATGATAGATATTCTCTAGAATTCGAAGAAATAATACACAAAGAATTGACTTTTCTCGCGTTTGTAACGTTAATTAAACGATTGATGGTTTAAAATTGCAATAACGCAACGCCTCGCTCGTAAAAACACTTTGTGTTTTATTTCGTTTTTATATTATTACAGGAATATATTGTTACGTGAACATAACGATTTATATATGTATGGTTTATCGTGCGACTTTCGCACCGCAAATACATCGTGCCCGCGAGACGGTGCGTGCGGCGCGCGCGTGTGTGCGTGTGTGTGTGTGTGTGTGTGTGTGTGTGTGTGTGTGTGTGTGTGTGTGTGGCCTATTATTCGTCAACGGTAAAAATCTCTAACGCTTCAATGTGCAATATGCAACGTAGGAATGAAAAGTGCTGAGAGCATGGATATGTAAAAGTCTCGCCCGCTATAGACGGTTGCTCGATTTATCGAAATTATGTACACTCGATTATCACGATGCGTCGACGTATAATGTATAAAAATTCACAAACAGCATGCCGCAAAAATCAGCCTATTGGATAGGAATCCTGATTTCGACTGCGACGAGAGTCTTATCACATCGCAAATTTCCCTTCTCCGAACGCGCGGACGATTTTTGAACATTTCTTCGCTCTTTCTTCGCAAATAACATTCCGTAACGAAGATTCTCTTCTTCTACGGCGGATAATCGGCAATTCGCGCGACAACTGCAACAACGAGACCGTAGCCGTCGCTACCGATACGGAGTCGTCATCTCTTTAAGAGCAAACAATTGTTGCGACGCGATTTCTATTCTTTGCACACACACGGTGGTGTTCAGCGCCCCATACATTACGCATAACCGAATATACCTTCACGCAAATGCACGTTCTCGCGATCTCAACCGGCGATTCTACGAATCTATCGTGGGGCATCGGCAGTTTTTGTGCAAATATTCTCCTCGATTTAACGTTTATATTGATCGTTCACGATTCAACTGAATTCGCTATCTGCAAATAAAAATTAAATATTCACGAATAACAATGTAATATAAATGCACATAAAAAGAAAAAAAATAAAGAAAAACAAGTATCACTTTTCGCATTAAAAAATGTGCAACAAAATATGCGTTGCGGACATGAATGCGTAATATATAGACAATTTACCGTAGTATATATCCGCCAGTGATCTCGCATACATCATCGTTGACATACGTTCAATTTCGCTATAACACGATCACCTTTCTCGAATTGGCGAATACATTTCTTACGTTTAAAAGCGAGGTTCTCTACGCTATCACACTAATTTGACTGTTCGAAGAAGAGTCGGGAATGGGTAGGTGGGTTGGTTTCTGGGTGATCTCGTTTCGTCCGACTATCTCTGCTTCCTCGGGTTACTACATAACTCTAACGCTAATGGCGCACTAGAAAATGATTAATCCCATATCTACGTGGCTTCCTCCTCCTGTTGCGATACTAAAACGTAAAAATAACTAGTCTTACATGCGAATCTGCGATTTGGACGTCGACCGTGTGCGACCCGATTATGCAGCTATTACATGATGCGTACGTTAAGCTAAAGTAGCAGTTCTTAAGGGTCTACATGTCTAGATCGAAGATCAAGTCGTTCTTGAATTCCAGTTGAGCGGTATCTGTCGCGTCTTGGCTCGGCGCGTCGGTCTGGACCTCTTCTTCCTCCTCCTCGGTGGGCGGTTTCTTGTCTATGCTGGATTTGCGTTTATGCTGCAACGGATGCTGGTCGCTCGCGTTCATCTTCGTGATCTCGATGTTCGCGGTTCTCTGTTGCCGCGACTGCTTGTCCCGCGCCAGTATAGGTTTCACGTTGTCGGACGTCGCCTCTTCGCTCGAAGAGTGCTTGTGATTTTGCGTCTTGTTGTATTTGCCACGCTCCTCGGTCTCAGAGTTTTCGCTCTCGCTCATTCGCCGCTCGTGAGCGCGTTTCTTGTTCCGCAACTTGCGTTGATTCTTTTTCCGTTGTCCGAGAATACTAGAGTTGGATCTGAGTGGAATTGATAGCTCTTAAAGCAATTAAATATCGTTTTGCTTCAAATGTTTTAAATATCTTAAACTATTAGTTTGGTGCAAAAAATTGGTCATACTTGTCAAGTAAAATTATTTAGTTTCAAAGGATTAATAATTTTTTTCAAATAAAATAATGAACTTGATATGTTTTTATGTATCTAATGAGGACTTTTATTTTTTTTTAACACCGAGATTTCCTACGAGAATTTTATAGAAAAATGACAAATTATTTGCACTAACTTAATATAAGCATCAATTATAAGTGAAGTAGCACCTATAAATATAAGATATGAAATATGTAAATAAAATATCTTAAATAAGATATTTAAATGACTTTTTTGGCTAAAAGTATGATCATGAATAATCCATTCACGTCGCAATACCTAAATAACTGCCGCGAGACCACGTCATTGAATCGTACAGTCTTCTTTAAACTGGAGCAATCGGATTCCGAATTGATGTCCTGCACAGAATCGTAATGGTAATCCGTGCACGACGCCGGAAGGCTGTTCTCGTCGGCACTCGACTCCGAGACGGAGCGCGAGAAGTCGCGGACGCGACGCGATTTCAGTATCCCTTTGGAGTGCCTCGCGCTGCCGTTGCTGCTCGCCAGCTCGTCTCCGCTGCTCTCAGAGACCGATCTCGCCTTTTCCACTATGCGCGCTTTCTCTTGCCGTTGCGTCACATTTCCCTGCTCCTCTTCGTCATCCGAATCCTGCTGAGTGGAACGGATGTCTATGATGAGACTGCTGCCCTGTGGCGCTACGGATACTTCTCTTTCCGTCAGCGATTCATTGTCCGAAGAGGTCTGCAAAAATAATTTACTCGTTAGAGACAATATAGAAAATTCACAGCCTGTCTATGAAGATTTTTATCGGTATTGTTTCGAAGAATACTAAACATCTAAAAAACGTGTAAAGTACGCATTAGTAATCGTTATTTGAAACTTGTCTCACGTGAAATACTCAAAACTGAGTTTAGGGTTACATCTGGATTTCTCAATTAAATTATATAATCTATATATCTATAATTTTGTAATTGCTTAATTGAAAAATATACACTTCACTCTAAATTCAAATCTGTGCATCTCAATTGAGACAAGCCTCGATTTGTCAGAGGTTTCAAATTAATTATATTATTAATTAATTATTAATATAGATCCTAAGATATTTTTTAGACATCCGTATGAGATCAAACATACTATACATTTCTTGGAGATACAGTCAACATATAACGTACTATAAAATTGCTAATAATAAATTACCATTAACTCCTGGAACTTGCTTCTGAACGAAGCAGCTGTGGGGAGATCCTTTTCCTCCATAAATTCCGTGTCCAGTCCGGCAGAATATTGCTTCACATTCTCGATATCTTTCACTGTGATGCTGAACACTACGTTATTGTCCCACGGATCAATCGTCAGAGTCTCCGGCTCGACGGAATGATCGCCTATCTTCAGACACAGGGAGTAATATTGCGGGAAGAATCCAGCACCCACGGACGTCAATAAGACGTGCAAACCTGCGTTGTTCTCGAGAATCTTATGGCGTATAGCGTCGGGATTTACATTTTTTACATTCACGGTTACGGCCAACTGATTATTGTAAACATTACAGGTGTACGCGGGAAGATTGTACTTAACGTTAGAACTCATAAATGCATCAGCTGTCTCTGTCACGTGACTAGTCCGCAACACGATATCCGCGCACTTTTCTATCGCCTCATTCGCCCCGTCTAATTCCACAACGTCGCGTATGCTCTCGTTCTCCTTGATCGACTCTACTTTGTTGTCGGGTATGTTCTCCTTGTCGACGTCTTTGGATAACGATATGGGGCTGCTCTGATCACTGTCGACTCCACTATCCACCCTGGTGTTCATCGTTGATACCAGCGATCGGACCACCGGCAAGGTCACGATCAACTTCTTGTACTTCACGTCAAACTTGGCGTTACCGTGGTCTCCGTCCACGGGATACGGTAACGGCAGGTCCAGCAGATATTTGGCCGGCTTCTCGCTTTTCAAGGTGAGAGAGCGCTCGTGTATATCGAGCGTCGCGTCGCTGACGCTCTTCAGCAAGGGCAGGTCGACGGAGACCACGAGTTTCTTCGGGATCGCGGCGTAGAGCTTGGCGTCTTTGTCTACACAAAAGTCCTCCATCTCCACGTCGGACTGGTGTTTGATGGTGAACTTGGGAGTGACATACTTCTCGTCTATTGACTGCTGCTGCTTGTTCTTGTAGTAAGTGGTGACTGGTGCGGCACGTTGCGATTTCTCCTCTTTTGTCTTCAAGCATCTCTTGCGGCTCTCATCGTAACTGGACATCAGTTTCTGGTAGATTTCAGAGTCCATATCTAATGGCTCTTTTGGAGGCTCTTCAGAGGATCTCCTGATGACTGTGGGGTGCGACACTCCTTTGAAGCTGATCTTGGGGAATTTGAGATTCTTTCTATCCAGCTTTACCTAGTAAAGAATGCAGAAAGAGATGTAATAAGTACTGTCAAGACTAAAATATACTAATATAAATTATATAAACTAGTCCTCTAAGTATGCATTTAAAATGAGAGAAAACATGGCTAATTAAGAGCAGATGTTAATATAAATAATTTAAGTAATATATTAAGTCATATAATAAAACAAAGATTTCATGCAACTTATTATTTTAATGGTGTATTTATAATTAATATCCAAAACATAACAGATAAGACAGTAACTATCTTATAATTTGATTACTGTTTTTTTATATATTTCAATATAAATTATAATATTTTCTTTCTATACATATAATTTACATGTCTGTATGAAAGAAGATCGTGTATATATCACATACGCAATATGTTAACAATCTGACATAATCTTGAGATCTATGACACAATCCTGAACTTCAATTAATGACATTAACAAGCTCCACTATTTTCAAATAAATGAACTGTTAAATCATGAATTCATAGATCTCTTGAAAATTTGTAGGAAGCACTGGCTCAGTTGAGAATACATTTGGCAATGTTTTATCTCAGTTCAATAATATAAATTATAGTAAGATACACAATCTAGATGCAATATACTAACTTTGAAGTTGTTCTCCACACCGTCCATTGCTGTATTGTTAACGATCTCACGGAAGCGAGCATTCTTGGACGCCAGGTAGATGGTGTCCGGGTGGAAGACCACGTCGAACACCACGCAGCGCACATTCTTCTTGTCAAGGTCATCGCGAGGCGGTATCAGCGTATACGGGATAGACCACTGTAGGCCACGGTGGCCCTGCTCATAGGAGGGCTGGCTGGTCGGTTGCGCTACCACGTCGTTCTTGCTAATGTTCAGGAAACACTTCCTCTCGCCATTCACACTCGTTTTTATGACGTAACCAGGCTCGGGGTTAACGAACGTCACGTCTACGCCCCGTTCCTTCTCGAGCTGGGCGATCTCCTTCTCGTAGGTCCGCCTGTTGTCCGGGTCGTTCACTTCCTCCGCGTACTCAATCAGCAGTTTGCGAAAGTCCTCCTTCTTCAGACACTCGGTGAGGCTCCGCAATTCGTCGCGCGACACATCCAAATCCTCCCAAGCTTTTCTGCGAGACTCGAATACGTCCATCTTACGATGCGCGTGTTTACAAATAGTCCCGTCGGTAGGACGGTCGTGAACGGCGCATCGCACGTGGATCGCCGCGCCATCGCACCGGCCGGTCTCCGCACCGGCTGGGCTGCGCAATTCGTCGCGCTGCGGTCGCTGCGGTATTTCGTCGCACCGCCGCGTCGCGCGCGACCTTCGCCACTTTCAGGCGCCTTTTCCGGGTAGAGTTCCAAATTTATTTATTTCTTTCACTTTTTGCTAGACGGATTTGCCGTTCTACTTTATCACGAATAAAAATACAATTGTTCTATCACACGAGTGGACGTCGCGTTTTTCTCGATTATGAATTCTCACGATAATAATTCGCGGAATCGAACTCACAGACTCTAATCTCAAAAGCTTCTGAGATATAGATAAATCATAATTTCTCTCTTATTGGAATCCTTTTTTTTAATAATGAAATAAAGTTTCAAACGAGACAATGAGAAGATATCGGCGAAGAAGTCAAAAGAATTTCTATATCTCTCTAATGAGAAGATAATTCACTAAACAAAGAACATTAGATCAATATTTTGAAATATTGATTTTATGTGTGTCTCTTGAATGTTTCTTTTCGCGAAATATTTTAGAAATATTTCAAAGATATTGCCAGATAATACGATCTCTCTGAATATTGCAAAAATATTCTAAAGATATTAAAGAGCCGAAATTATTCAAAATGATCTGCAATCAATGATCAATTAGAAATCAATGATTTTTTACTGAGAATTCATGTTCCATTTATACCAAAACATTCGATTTTTCAATTAAAAAATTCAAAGAATCCTGATAAAGATTTTATAATACATATAAAATGCATCTTCATATAAAATATAGTATATGCCGCATCATTATTTCTTCTTGAGTACTTTGACCCGTACCTTCTGACTCCTTGTTTCATTAGAATTTTCGTCACGCGACTCGAGCGTTAGTCACACCACGTTCAAGCCCACGATACTCGTGCAGCGTGTAGTACATGCATTGGAAAGTGAAACGTTGCGTTTCACCTGATCGGTCGGTCGGTGGGGGTCGTAGGCTACGGCGAAGATGTGGGGATCACGCGGTAGTTTGCAGATGTTGACCCACTAACATTCTCCTCCGTTACTCGGCGGGCGAACGGTCTCGTTAATCTAAGTGTGCTCGAATATTCACCGATGGTGAAGCGGGAACAACGGATAACGTCAAGATGCGCAGGAATCGCGGCATCCTGCTGTGGCTCTCGACGTGCCTGACTGTGGTGTTCGTCGTCCTAAAATCCTCCACCGAGCTGCTCGGCTCCGCTTTGCCCATTGTCGAAAAAAGTGACTCGCTCCGGGAACGGGAGGAGTCACGCGTCGACGATCGATGGATCGCTCGTAATCAGGTGAAGTCGAACGTGAAGTCGCCGGTGAAAGTTAAATGAAATAATATCCGATAATGCGTGTCGGTAGATTAACATTGGAGAGCGATACTTGTAGAAAGGACGAAGGTCCTGGATTGTTAATTGCGAACCAAGTCCGTCCTGCATTCCGATGGCGAGTCTCGCGAGGTTGCATTGTTCGCGATACTTGAAATTCTTGATTCTAAAAAGAAATGAATGTACTAGTATCGTATTAGTTGGAATAATTTATGTATATGTCTCATAACTATTATATCATAGATATATATAATAATTATTAAAAAAAGCTATATTAATTTCAAGCACTGATTATCAAATAGTAAAAAAAAAATGGTAAAACATTATTATTATACTGCTAAAAATTATTATTATATTGCTAAAAATTATTATTATACTGCTAAAGTAATATTCTGAAACTAAATTATATCTCGTGAATACTCTGAAACTTATAATACTAAAATTATTATACTATTTAAATTATACTCTACTGATAACTTTAGTTTGTATATATAATAATTATTATAGATATAAATTAGCTATTAGCAGAGGGTATAACATATAAGTAGTATAATAATTTTTTATATATAACTTCCACTATATATATGCATATATATTACTTCATTAGAGAGAGAACTTGGAATTAGTACACTTTCGAATGCGCATTGAGTCGAGTCATGTAACGCATCGCTAAGATACATATAGATTCGCGCGGAATTCGTATAGCAATTCCGCGCAGCATCGTTGAACGCCTGCGCTCGTGCGAATTCCAAAGCGACGAATGTAATTTCGGAGAGCAACGCATTGGAGATGACTCGCGTTTACGCAATGGGAGAATGCATTCTCCAAGCGTGAGACAAGCACCGGGTGCGCGTCTCTCGCGTTACAGCAATCGTGTGAGATTAATCCGAGTGAATCGGCGAGACAAAATGATCTCAACGACTGGAGTGTCACCCTAGCTATTTGGCGGTTAATCTACTGGACAACAGTTCATAAACTTATCGATTAAAGCGACAGACACTAGATTTAATCTACTAAGCAAGTTGCATCCGAAACAATTTGTAACACGTTGGGACTCCTGAAGGACGGTCTCAACTAACGCCTACCAACAACTTATCTACAACATTCGATTATTATCCTTGGATAGATTGCGAATATATGTGGAGAGAAACAAAAAATTAATGATCTCAAAAGTCAAACACAACGTAACTTCGATTCGCCACATAACGGAGTCGCGAGACGCAAAGTTGCAAGTGTGACTTTAAACCATTTTAATTTACATGATCGTTCCGACTGTCGTACAGACACAACGATACGTCACACCGTCCCTCGCTGAATTGAGCGGTCGTGGACGCTTGCCGTACATGTACAAGCACGTGCTTATGCTGACGCGCGTACCTGGCGCAGGTGGCGAGCTGATGGTGCTGATCCTGCAGCGTCTGCAGGGTTACAACGCCTTCAAGCACATACGCCTGCCATCGGGCGATCACGGGCTGCTCTCGACTTTACAACAAGTGAGTGTTAGCCTAGATCGAACCTTGAAAAGAAAAACATTTTAAAAAATATTTATTCTTTCAAAGTGAATCAGTAAAAATATTTCCGATCGAATCAGACAAATAGTATTTCACTAATGATTAGTGAATATTCACTGATTTTCTGTGAAAACATTCCCACTTTACTGTTTCATCATATGTTTCACTAGTCTTCATCAGTGGAAATAAGATCTTACTACAAACTTTGTGTTACACAAATTAGTTACATATTGTATCCAACTTTTTACGTTTGAGATGATATAATTAACGACTTGCATGCGATGGCACTGTTTGTGTTTGCAAACTGCATCAATAATGGTAACAATCGCTACTATTAACTGATTCCTTCAGCGAAATTTTACTGATTGCAGTGCTATACTTATAACTGACGGTCCAGTTATAAATATAACATTTCAGTGAATACACTGATTATGCTTTAGAAAGTAATTTTTTTTAAGAAAAGAATAAAAAATTTTCGATTCGACAGGAATTGTTGGTAGAGGAGATGACGAGCATCATCAAGCAGGAAGCCATTCCCTTGAGCTTCGACGGAGACGTGAGGTTCCTGAATTTCTCCGAATTCGGACGACAAGGGCCCAGTTTCATATCTCTAGTGAGAGATCCGCTGGATCCACGTGTCTGGCAAAGGTATGTGTGTTCGTCGCTTCGTTCCTTGAGATTGTATATCGAGGACGTCGTAAGATATTAAAATAATAACGAAGTAGCAACGAGATATTGTATTGACACGAGCTGTAGAGAACGTGTTACGATCGCTCATAAAGTGGCGTAGACGTCTCCGATAATTACTATTATTATTAAGTTTCTCAGCGAAATAACATGTAACACGCACGATTTAGGCACGGAAAAGGGGATGAAGGAGCGCTCTACCGCGGCGCCATACCTCATTTCTGCGGACAGGAACCTCGTTGCCTGTGAGTACAACACGCGTCTCCGTTGATTTAAACACACGCGAGCTTTCATGGAATTTTACGCGATAGTTCCACGTGCGAGCGTGAATGTCTTTATTAACTCACACTCAGGTGAGATTGCAAGTATCCTTCTGAAAAAAAGAAAACACAACAGTCATTACTGATTTGATTTCATTCCAACGTAATCAGAATCGCTAATACTTGCACGGAAAAAATGAAATTGCTATTATTTGCAAATTGATCGCCGTCGCGCATTATTTACCCTTTGTTCAGGGAACAGAACAACACGTGGGCGTTGGCGCGAGCGAAGGCGAACGTCGTCCGATGGTATCCCGTCGTCGGCATATTGGATTACATGGAAGAGTCGTTAGACGCGTTCGCGCTCGAATTTCCTTATTTCTTTAAAGGCGCCGCTCGTATTTACGAGCAGTTTCGTAAGTATCGCTTGTGAAGTATTCACTGTATACGTGTGAAACGCTTCTCCGATTCAATATTACATTCTTGTCGTCGATATATTCGTTTTGTGTTTTCACAGGGCCAAGGGAGAAGCGCCCGGCCGTCTCAACGGTGCCTCTCAAGCTACGCGTCAAAGACGCGTCCCTGAGGATAGCGCTCGCGCAAGAAGTGGAGTTTTATCATTGGTTGAAGTCCCGACTACTCAACAAAACCTTCAACAACGGTTAATGATGCAATCATCCGGTCGGGAGAGTATTCTAAAGTCGGCAGCGAAGCTTGAACGATGCCAAACGCGCTGTCGCTGCATTACAAGGATACAGACTGGGAGGTAGAGGGAAAGGAACTTCTAGAAGTCACGATCTTGTCGTTAGCGCAGCAAAGAGTCGCAAATGTGAACTTGTCGTGCCGTCTAGAAGTTGAATGTGCGATTAATGTGTACCGCGTTTTGACGTGGAAGATAAATCGTCGTAGTTACAAGAAGGCGCATGCGACGAAGTGAATTCTCGTAAAACACAGTTGTAATCTTCTTTTCTTTTATTTTAGCTTTTTTTTACGTCAATCTATTTTAATAAACGTCGAATAAATACAGAGCGGTACAAAGAAATGCTTTACGTACACGTCGTTCCCTCTCCTCGAGATTCCTTTCACACATACCACTCTTGCACCACGTGTGCTTGCACCAAAGATAAAAAATGCAAAACGTGACCTGAAGAGGTTCGCTAATTATGTACACAGTGATAATTGTGAAAACGCAGCGGCGCTTCTGCGCCCGCAAAACACTTTACTCGCTAAGAGGGACGCAGTGTCCCTTACTATTTCAAAGTTACGTCACCTTTTCCGCGCCGTAATTTCCAACAAGAAGAACATCGAATTATTTCGACGAGACACACCGTGCAAATACAACCGTGAGAGCACGATAGACGGGGATAGAATCAATACAAAAATAAGTCGCCATCGTGTGATCGTCGAGAGACTCCGCGAGATAGATCGCAAGTGAGAAAGAACTCAGGGAGGATCGGGAAGCGAGTCGGACTGATTGACGCGTGGCTGATGTGTGCACCAAGACAGTAGGATCATGTTGATGTACAAGTGGACGAGCAACAACATGAGGAACGCGTGCCATCACTTCTTCTTCGCATCCTTTAATCCGGCGCCCGCGTTGAATTTGAAGAAAATAATATCGCCATCCTCGACCACGTAATTGCGTCCTTGTTGCCTGTACTTTCCGGCGGCCTGTCGACAAAATAGAAAACACCTAATAAGTTGATAGGAAGTCACGTTACGTACTATCTAAGATGAAAATTGTCTCGTCTTCAGCACCTTGACTGAGGCTTCGGAACCCTCGTTCTTAAAGTCGTCGAATTTCATTACTTCCGCCATAATGAATCCCTTCTCGAAGTCCGTGTGTATTTTACCAGCGGCCTGAGGCGCTTTTGTGCCTTTCTATAAAACAAATGGTAAATCTTATATTAGGTAAAATAAATCGAATATTAGATTTGTGATTAGTGTCATTTTTTAATAAAGATAAAATTTAATAAAAATGATGTTATTTTTTCTATTCTGTTTGTATAATAAGAGAATGACCTTCTTCATAATCAACAGAATTTAATTTACAAATACTAATTCGTTAAACATTATAAATCTGTGCTCACCTGAATCGTCCATGCTTTAACTTCATCGTGCCCAGCCGTGAAGAAGTACTGCAGTTGTAGCGCCTTGTAGCCTTGTACAATAATTTTGTCAAGTGCACTGAATAGAAAAACAGCCATGATAAACACAGATTCGCGACAAGTTTCTCTCATTACTAAAAAAATAAAAAGAAAATATCTTGTGTACGGAAATGATGAGCAAATTATCTATTATCTCCAATTGAGCGGATCGTAAAATAAGGGCGTATTTTCAGTGGGAAGAGTAGAGAAAGACGAGAGAAAGAGAGAGGAGAGAGGTGTCCGAGCACGGCATTGTAGAATAAGATTGTCCCGAACCAAATATCGTCTAATGACAGGTTAGCGCAAGTGGAGCCCAACGTCCGACGCGTGGTGGGCCCGACGAACTCCGACAGTTCAGAGAATACACATAAAGCCGAACGACTTAATACCGCAATTTTATCATTCCGACTCTCCGACGGGGACCCGTACCTGGCGCCTTGGTTATCTGCGGTCTCGAAATAAAATCACGGTATCTGCCGTCCCTTCGTTTGTATCCCCCCCGATTATTAGGCAAAACTCGGATATCATAGACCTCTCCTCTCTCGCTCTGTCTGATTCGCTGCCGCGAGAGTCTGGTGAAGATAATGAACGTTGCGGGAAAATAGATTCCGTGTGTTCGCGTCTTCTTGTCGGTTTTAGTTTCTCTTAAATATTTCATCGTATCCACGCTTGAACGTTCCGCCTGGACAAGCAATAATTGCCGCTCAAAGCATCTCAAAGAGAAGAGAAATGTCCCGCTTGCAATTCCGCGGCTTATTCAACGACACAGTTAATTAAATCTCAGCTCGTAATTACGGTCGTACGATTTTAACTTGCGATATGAGTCGGCGAGTAAAAAGAGATCGTATGCGCAGAGTTTATGGACGTTGTACCACGTGCAACGTACGCCCGTGGGGTACGAATGACCCACTAACCAATCGAATTACCGAACCACCGTCGATTACTACTCCGCTCCACCCACCTCCTCGATTATAGCGACGTGTGCCCGCGAGCGCGGGAGGGGTTTTCATGCAATTTTGCAAGAATTTGAATAGCTGTTCGTAAAAATATAATGCGCCGCGTCGGAACAGCGGACCACGTCGTCGTTTTTATTAGCCCACGTCGTCCCACGTGGTGAGAGAAAGAAAGAAAGAGAACGAGTCTAGACGCTCGGCCGAGAGCCCAGCCACCATTATTATTACCGTTAGAGGATAACTCGGTGCATAGCTAAATGTGGGAACCCGGAGCGCGTCCGTCGGATTTTTACGAACGTTCGACCTTTTTCTCCCCCATGCCCCTGCAATCTCGCGGCGCTTCGTCGTCGGCAACGAGCGACGAATATACGCCAGAAAGGGAAAGGGAGAAAGAGAGCGCGAGAGTGCCCGAACTACCGAACTTCTGAGTTTAAAGCGGCGGCGGGGACGGCGGTGAGCGACGCGCAGTTGAACCCTCTCATTTGCGAGCGCGACAGCAACAGCGAGCCGCGAGAACCTTCCCCAGGAGGGTGAAGGTAATGATTGCCGTAACGGACGATGTGGAGAAGCTGATGGCCAACCTGGTGACTTTGTGTTCCTCGAAGTATTTTGCGCGCTCCGCCTCGTCCATGTCGAGGAGCTTGTTCTCGACGATACCGCTGAAAGGGATCAAGATCGCGCCCGGGTCGTTCTTGTCAACCCACTCTTTTATTTTGATTAACCTATGAGAGAACAAAAGGAGGATACAATGTACCAGGGAATCCAGGGACCGTTTCGAGCGAGCATCGCTTCAAATCGTTACGCACCATTTATTCTTCTTGCGTATGTAATCCTTTTCCGACAGGTTCACCAAGTAGATAATAGGTTTCGATGTAAGGAACAGATATTTGTTGAGCACCTCGATCTGAAAGCAAATTTTTCAAGTGAGAAACTGTTCACTGTAAGTATCAAAGATCAGTCAAAAGACTCGGTTCAATTTTCAATTATGTACAAACATGTAAACTTACGTCGTTGGCACTCCAGTCGGCGAACCTGATGTGTTTCTTCTCCTCCATCAAAACACCCTTAACCTTCAGAAGTGTATCCTAAGAAAAAGACACAGATTAAACATTTCGAACAGTTCAAGACGTTCTTCTTGTATTTGGCGTAACGCCGCAATTCTCCACGATTGACTTCGATGTCGATCTTGGCAAAATTCAGTTGCACGAACGAACGAACAAACGCGGCCGATCGAGGATAGGATAATTTCGCGATCGAATTGTGATTAGAGGATCGTACGTCGGCTGCGAGGTTCCATTAATTCCTCCACCGAGAGAAAGAGAGAGGACGAAAAAGTAGCTTTGAATCCTCGAAAACTTTTGCCAAATTGCGAAGTCGAGAACGGGGGAGATCGGTAATTGCCGGGGGTCAATCCGCGGAAGGAGGGTAATCCGACGATCGACTCGTTCCAGGAAGCCTCGCTTCGCCCGCGTTCTCTTAATTTCCTCGGTAATTTCGCAGTTGGTCCGACAAAGGGGCTGCGATGTACTCGTGGGTGGGTAGCCAGGTAGCCGAGTTCATACGTCGCGCGTATGAACCCCGAACACGAGGGGGTGAGAGAAATTTCTTACGAGTCTCGTGACGAGGAAATTTGCTCGGCGAAATCGACGGGAACGATAGTAACGAGCACGTCGGTCTTTAGTACTTTATTTAAACGTGTCTAACGCTCCCTGAAGCCACGAACACGAAGGGAAGCGTGTGCAAAATCGCGATGTGATTTCACAAGTACACGGAAGAAACAAGTTGATCCATACATAAATCTGGTTGGACCAACCAGATTCAATAGCAAAAATACGGAACAAGTAATTATGTGGTTGTTGAGAGCAATTGTTGAGTTACTAATGTTGCAACAGTAACGATATCTGGTTGCTCCAAATCTAAAATGTCACCCTAATAGATTTCTGGTTGCCACAATCACGTGCATTTACATTAGTGTAGTTGATGTACCAAAAGAATTGAGTTATGTCATTCACTCAGAGAAAACATGTTTAAAAATGTTTATTTTTGGTCCAATCGTATTTTCTATAGTAAAACAGTAGTAGTAATATTCATATGAAGTTATCATTACTAACATTATAATAGAATTTAATAAAAAATGCTTTTCTTGACCATAATTTATGGTAATTATTTCTTTGCGTGATTATAATTACAAATACTAAATGTTTGTTTCTCAGTATACAATTGCTATTGCATAAAGATTACTAGAATAATATATCTGTGTAGATCACAACTAAATATTTCTGGTTATCATACCCTTTTTTCTCGTTTTTATCTGTCGTTTGTAAACGCGCACACACAGGTATCAAATGAAATGCTGCAGGCCGAAGAGGATTAACGGAGCTCGCGCGAGTCGCGTGGTTTGTTTGTAGAAAGTAACATGCGTATTATAAGCGGTTGTTTACGCATCGGTGGAAACAGGTCGATCGGACGGCAAAACCGTCGCGCGGAACGGCAATTTTACAACGCGCTCACAACCCTTTATGAAATTATCGCGATGGCTCGTGGCAATGTGTGTCATAGCGCAGGAAATATCGGTAGCTGCGTCACGTGGATTATAACATATATAGTAAGCGATGCAATGGGGTGACAAGGGATTTATTCGCGAATCCTGAATGTGAGATAACACTGACGACGAATATCTTTACCCTCGGTGTACTAATAATTTGAATATATTTTTCAAACAGTTCTGACTGTTAAAAAATCAGTATTTCATGATTTTTACTGTTCTTCAAAGATCTTCCAAAGAACAGAGGAAACATTTGCTTATTTATATCTTTAATAGAATAAAACTTCGATTAAAAAAAAATATCCTCACAATCAAGGTTCTATTGAGACCTGTTAGGAATCTAATAAGATTAAGAATATTTGCGAGAGATTCTATTAAAAAGAATAATTCTTTTGTAAGAAATTTTAATTTTGCAATTATCAAATGTTCATAGTATACCAAGAGTTAAAAGAGCAAGTAAAAATGAATCAAAAGATTTCTACAGGAATGAAAAACTGCCTTCTTAACCGAAGGATATTCTTACGGGAAAGGCGAGTTTTTTCGATTGAGACATTTTTTCTATCTCTTTCTTTCTTTTTTTCTCAAGAGAGAACGGGAGATAATGATCAGGTACTCACGTATTCAGGCTTCAACTTCTTGTCGTTGCCGCGAATAACCAGCTTCTCGAGTTTCTCGAGATGCGTGCTCAAAAATTCCACATCCTTCAGTCGCAACTCCTCGCTGATGATATCGAGATCCCTCACGGGATTCACGTCGCCCTCTACGTGAGTGACGTCATCGTCCTCGAAGGCACCTGTCACAAGGAAGAAAGCATAGACACAATGAGTGGATCTCATGAGTAGCGGGCGGAGGGAAACCGCGGCGAACCACGCTTCTGGACGTTCATCTTAGTAAATAGCGTTCGCCTCGACGGCGAAGCTCTCGCATGTCGACTATTTAAGCGAGCCACCGCCACGCGAAGATTGCCGGGTTGCTTTAATTGAAAAAATTACCACCTGTCGGCAGCTCGGCAAGATGTATTAACCGGCGAAACTGCCCCTCGAAATGTTATTCTCAGTACGAATGTAATATCTTCCCGACGATCGTTTTGTGTGAGTTACTACGTGTTACATTATAACAACGCGAAACACGAGCGGGTTAACGCTCTTGCAAACCCCGCGGACACGAGACAGCACGTCGCCTTGAATTTCCATCGACGATGAAATTCGAAGATAAATCACATGATAAATCGAATCTTTTTACTCGATTGTAATCAATAATAAAATTGATCGTATGACTAATTTAATTTAATTTTACAGACTGTCAATATCAATTTGATATTAAATTCTTCCTACAAATCAACAAATTCTAAACAAAAATTGGGCTACGTAAAAAAATAAGATTTTGCCATATTTTCGACATAGGATATTAAATTTCTTCTACAAAGAAATAAAATTTTAAATTTAAAGATAAAATCGCAAAAAATGAAAAATTTTTTTAACAAAAAAAAGATTACTATCATTTCTAATATGATTTGCATGTATAGTAGGCACATTTTTTTATTTACACGTCGCGGGTGTATGTATTTGGTGTAAGATAAGCGTAAATCGCGCGATTCTTATTATCGTCGAGCACAATAACGCAACGAGCTTCCAGGAAGGTACTTAACGACGGTCATAACGCGCTCGTAACGCGCTCCGCGAGGAGCGAAATGACCGCCCCGTTCGCGATCGCGCGTCCGACGCGCGAAGTAGGTAAATATCGCTCGTAACTAATCTCCCGATCCCATCGACGAAAATTTCTGCCTCCCTCCCGTCCGTCCACGCCAATCCGTAATCACCCTTATCGTGATTCCGCGCTCAGAGTCGTGTGTTCCCGTGGAAATGCGGTCGCTCGCTGCTATCTGTTTACGCGAGCATGCACCGCGTGTCAGCGACGGACGCTGAAACGGGAAATGAAATGACAAACAAATATCAAAGTCAGATAATGGCATTGATTAAAATACTACAGAGAAATGAATTAGCGTCCACTTAAAGCTAACATACTCATATTAATAATCATTGTTTCAAACAATGATTATATCAACAATATATTTATCAATTATATAACAATGATGATGTATAATTTCGTTAGAAGAATTTCCAAATCTTCAAGTTCAACAATGTTATAATTTAATTTGAATATAACAACAATCTCAAAGAAGTGCAATATGATTATTTTGATATCTTTTTCCAACATTTAAAAACATATTTTTAATCCAATATTTTATGCTTCCCATTTAATAAAAATTATTTCTGAATATATTCTTTGTTGAATCACATGAAATATATTGATGCAAGCAACTTGTCTTCGTGTAACGCTATATGATCTCATTTTAAGATTTATATTAAAAAATGAAAATATTTCCCCAATAAGAATGTATTTTCTTTGCTGTATACTCACGACAAAGGTGAAAGATGCCGTCGCAGGCTCCGATATGCGAGAGGAAATTGTTTCCTAGACCTTGTCCCTCGGCGGCACCCTGCACCAGTCCGGCAATGTCCATCACGTGCAGGAAGGCTGGAACCTTGCTGAAAGTTTAAGCTGCCGGTTATATGAATCATCTGATCTGACGATTTCCTCCGGTGAGAAAGGGAAACAGATTCGACTCGCCGGTGCAAATGTGTAGTCGGTCGTGATAGCGCGACATTGTCCCAGAGAGGAGAGAAAGAGAGTCGCGTTTTTCGCGCTCGTCAGGGCTCCGATTCCCTCGCCACGTAGGTCAGCGATGATGACGATGGCGCGATTAAAGGTCGAAGGCATGTGCCATCGCGGCGATATACGCGCGCGCGGAATGGAAACGAGGGAGCGGCCGGTGACAACGAGGTATATTTAAATGCTAATGCCAACGGGCTCATTAAACAATTAGCCTTTGAAAAGGGAGGCGTCGGCGAAAGTGGACGGACTGGCCGTGGCAGCGGGAAGGGAGACGGTGTATTAGCCGGCTTTCATCACGGATCGTCGAATCATCCGACACGTGCCGGTAGTCGGGGTGGCTGCCGCCGTCGACGCGGCCGACATAGACGAGAGAACGATAATGGAGCGGGCGCGCGCGCGAGGCACGGATGAATCGGCCGCTCTTTGATCCGACCGGCTGTTTCGCATTTTCAATGTTTCGATTCCCGTCGAATCTCGTCGCAAGACAAGCGCAAATTTACATTTAGCCGCGCCCAGAGTTTTATTAGCCGATCGACTGATCGGTTGACTGACTGCTCGACCTGAAGTAACACGAGGGTCACGTGTGAGAGCGCCGCATAATCAAATATTGTCGTTTCTTCAATGGAGCCGCCGGATTATTCTCGTAGTGTCGCGTCTACGGCTTTTTTCTGTGTATCGTTATTCGTTATTTCACTTCGATCTGCATGCTTCATTACACTCGAAATGATTCTTGTCAGTCGAAAAGTTCGGCTCAAACTTCGGCAGATGACGACGCATATGTGTAATCAAAGTAACTATTCTGATAACATCTCTATCGTAAACGGAGAAAATATTGCAGTGAAAATTACAACAAAATTTTGCAATCTTGTATCGGAAATTATGACTATATCTCTACATATTGTTGTAATTACTTAAATTACTCTTTCTATAAGTCTTCGAATTTAGTACCTTTATATTAACTTACGCTACAATATTAGTATAGTCCAAACATAAAATAAAATATAAAGTGATTTTTATTACAATATTTTCTCCGTAAATACGCATTATAAATCTCTCGTATATATTGTTGCAAAGGCAATATTTATACGAGAATAACTCGGCTACTGAATAATTTGTTTCCATCGAGCGCGTCGGAGTCGAACTCGCTTCAAAAGTTGGACTGAACTTTTCAACTGACCCGGATAGATTCGTTATCACCGATGCGTGTTTTATTCTTTTGTTGAAAAAAATCTACATTAGCCGATGTTACTGGCGCCGAGACTCCATCGCGGTATCACGTGTAGCAACGCGAATAAAGAAGAAGGACAAGAGGAACGTGTAGCACGCCGGCGAATACGTTCCGCGGACCTCTACGTCTCGTAGACGAATTTCGCGCAATCTGCATTGCAGATCAACTCCCCTTCGTCTTTCCTCCCAACCTCTCCTCCCCTCCCCCCCCTTTCCACCGTCTTCTTGCGAGAATAAAAGCGAAGAAGTATGGAAATGTCCCCCCGGTTATTCCGACTCGTTTCCCTTCACAAGGGTACATCTTTAGGCGGCGCTATATATGCTTTTATTCCGCTTGCACATTTACCCCCGCACGCCGACGTATATTTCAGGAACGTTTCGTCGCTCCGCCGCTCGTTTCTTACCTAGCTGGCTTAAAATATTCACAGAGATAGTCGAACCTCGCGTCGGGCACCGGGACGCGACGTGCTGAAAAAGAAAGAAAAAAAACTCGGATAGCTTCGTCTCTCTCGGAATGTCGTCCGCGTTGACAAAGACTAACGACTAACAATTAACAAGAACACTATTAACAACTATACACAAGACTATAACGCGGATAATCATCTTCGTGAAGAATACATTCTCTGTCAATCTGACACTCTCGATTCCAACTATTGTTCGCCGTCAACGGTGACGTAAGGATTAGGCTTGGTCTTCACGGTATCAGTGACGATCCTGATGATCTTGTCTCGTTCGGCCATTCGTTCGTCGGCGTTCTTATAAGCAAGTGTTCCTTCCAAGTCGATAGATGCATTGTGCGTCTTCAGGTGGATGCCAATGTGAATCGCCGCGCTGGTGGCTAGCGACAGACCGACTATCTTTGGGCGACGTGCTGCAACCCGTTTCACCGCCTCGACCACTTCCTTCGCTACCATGCGCTCCAAGAAGTCCGTATCCGGCAGGCACCGTGGATCGATTTCACCAGGAAACGTGATCTCTACGTTACGGTACTTGCTGTGCTTCGCAAGGAACTTGTCGCGACACTCTTCGCTACAGAGGAGGTACACTTCCTTCTCCCCGAGTAGCACAGCTAAGTCGGCTTTGCCGCGCGTCAGTCTGCAATCCGTCGGGCCGTCGACGTAAGTTACCGGGCACCAACCGTCGAGACGAAGGCGTCGCTGCCAGCAGACGTGTGTCACGTCGACTACTTGCTCGAGTATCCGAGGTCGCTCGTCAGGTAGAGTCGCGGTGTTGACGGGAGGAAGATACTGTTGCGGATCCTCTACGAAAGCGGACATGTGTCGCGGGCAGATCCAGTAGAAATGCTCCTTGAACTGCACCATTCCCTCATTATCTGTCGACTGCCTAGAGGTCTGTAGAATGTCCTCCAAGAACAAGCAAACGGGACAATAGGATTCATACCGGCTCTGCCGTTTTCGGAACTCGAAGGGCGACACACACATGTACCTGAGACTGTGTATTTTATCGAGGTCGGCTTCGTGGTGATAGAACGTGATTTCGGCAAATCGCGAGCGCACCGCGCGATCTGCTATAGTCCACACACCCCACTTGTTTCTAGTGGCGTCCAGTTCCACGACATTCCGCGAGAACTTTTTCAGCCAGTCTCGGAAGCTCGCTTGGTGCGCTTGCCAGTTCTCATAGTGTGCCAGGAAGTTAGAGCAGGAAGTATCTGTGCCGTCATTGTTTTTAGTCTGGCGTTCCAACAAGAACGATAAATCAGCCTTAAGATCCAGCACGATCATTGGCTGCACTGCCGACAGGATCAACCGCTGGGCTTCCTCGTGACTCGAAGGACAGTCGTCCAGTATGTAACCTTGCGAAGTCGCGAGTGGGTCCAGGGTAAGTGCTTCAATAGCATGTGCTATGTACTCGAGAGAAATCGGTTGACCCATCTGAAGCTGATTCTCGGCCATCCGCGCTGTTTCGGTCCAACTATAGTGCTTCAACATGTGACGCAAAGCTACTTCGCGACTGATTCGCTTTATGCCATAGGTCTTTGCAAAACGATCCGCCAGCGTCGTCTTCCCGCACTTCGGCGGCCCAATAATGGCGATTCGAAGCGGTAAAGCCGGTAGACGAAAATCCCGAGTAATATACTTGGAAGGTTCCTTCAAGAACGCGGAGAGCGCTTCTTTGCCATCGACGAAGTAGATATAAGCGTGATGGATGACTGGAAAAGTCGGGCCATGGACTATGAGTATCTCATTGGTGAATGCTTGCACCGGACACAGCCGGCCGAAGGAGCTGTAGAAGTAGTAGCCGCAATCGAGAAGTTGTTCGGCCGTTTTAAGATCGACAACGCGTGGGGAATATTCCTCTTCGCCTTCCTTCGTTTCTTCATCGTTCAAATTCGTGTTATCTTTCGTGTTATTTTTCGTTTCTTTTGAAGTGTTTGTCTCATTGGCATTTGTTATAACCTCAGAAGGATGTTTCGAATGAATCATTATATATTCGGCTATATCTTTGATAGCCGCAGAGTCGCGAAGATTTGGCGGTAACAGAAACATCCTTGGATTCTCAAGGAACAGATGTAAGTTTATTTTAGAGGACAAAAAATAGATATTTCTTAAAAATTGCACCACATATTTTCCTTCTTTCTTCTGTCCTACAGCCAAACTCACCGGGCAATAAAATTTCCACGTGGAGAGCCTCCAAGGGAATTCGGCTGACACGATTCCTCTCTGCAGGATCTCAAAAGACTCTTCTTTAACGGACATCTCAGGCATCTTCGCATTCGCGAAGAACTTGTTGTTTCGAAGAAATTGCAAGTGATCTATTTTAACTGTCATCGGCTTAGGTAAGATCGACGGTTGCAACGGCAGCATGCGTAGACGCGCGTCAACAGTCAGGAACATCCGTTCCGTTGAACGGCGGCCGTCCACACGGATCACACGCTGAGGATCGTGCGTGAGGATCCACCTGTTAATTATCGGCAGCGCCATTCGCATGTATAGCTCGCACTGCAGCTCAATTTTCCGCCTCACGTCAGAAACTCGTCCTAAATAATCATTGCTTTCGATCGGTTGCTCCTTCGTATCTTGATGAAGGTTAAACGATGGATCCAACTCGTCACCGAGTGTGCCCTCAACAACGTCAGCTGTTGCGGTTTCCATATATTGGCGCATAATCAAGCTCACGATGTCTTGCTTTGGACACACCATATAGATGATAATGGAAGGCTTGATCGGCCACTCAGTGAACATCTCGTTGATCTGCTGCGGGATTTCTCGTTCATTTTCAAATAACATTTCGCAAATTGACTCGTCGGGTGACTTCACTACAAATCCAAGTGTGTTATTTTAGTTGAATCTTTTTTTTACATGTTTTTCACTGTTTTAAGTCGTGTCATTTAATACGTTAAAACATATTGAATTCTAATTCACACGTTTTAAACGTGTTAAATGACGTGATTTAAAACTGTAAGAAACTTGCAACAAGAGCTTCAGCCAAATTATACGCTTAAAATAAAAAAAGTACCAATGCCTGGAATAATTGAATACTTTTAATTTAGAATACATATATATCTATATTCAATATATTTTATATTGAAAATTTGAATGTTTATATTTAAAGAACAAAACCATAAGAATGTCCAGAGTTAGGTATCAGTGTTATTAATATCCAGATATTGGTACTATGCCATCTTATGTTTAAAAATAACACACTTGAATTTGCAGTGTTGTCGCAAGATGCAGTTCGACCACACATTTGATCTTTACAGGACTCGGAGTGATCGCGATTGAGGCTCGGCTCGTCTGGAATAAGCGGTAGACCTTTGACGATGTAGCCTCTGTTTAGGACGTCCCTCATCTTAACTCTGCGTCGCATTAAATTCATGACGATATCTGGTGCTATGCGTTCGCCGTTTGCTAGAGTTTCTTTTATACGTTGACCTTGCACACTGCCGCTGTTGATTTCTTCCTGTATCAACTTTGAGGGCGATATCAAGACGCACTTCCAAGTATCGGCTATCTTGGAAGCCAAGTCGACGCTATTCAAGCCAGGTTTTCCAAAAATGACGAAACTTAGTGGGTCGCTCAAAAGGTAACGATTCACAGCTTCGATTTCTGAGAGAGGATCCTGGAAGGGTTTTGTAGATGACGTCACCGACGGTGGAAGCCTTTCTCTTTGGAGAGATTTGGATACGGCGATTCTCGTGGAGGGATGTATATCTTCGGCGAAAGCGTAATATAAATGAGCCTTTGGATATATGATCGAAGATGGCGCGTGTTGAGCATTCTTCTGCGTGACAACAGATTCGTCATCGGGAAGCTTCTGCACGATATGTTGCTTCTCTGGAGATTTGTTGCACATTTTTGCTTAAGTAATACTCGTGAATAACTTCTGTCGATAATTAATTCTTCTTGCGGCGCACTGTCGTTTGAGTTGCTCCCGAGTGAGGTTAAACAATTGAAGTCAAAATCACTCGTAAACTTATTAAATTTCACATAATAGCTTCGCTATACACAATAGGGAGAAACACGAGTTGTGTACAATTTGGAATCGAGAGTATCAGTAAAGTGGATGTGATGCAGTAATATTTTTGCACGTTATGGATTGCTTAAATAATGTAATAACGAAGAGAGAGAAACTTGAATTTTGACTTGATACAAGAAAGCTTAAAATTAAAAGTTATAATTAAAAGTTGTAAATTTCAATTTCTAATTCTGTATTAAATACAAAAATATGAAATAAATAAATATTAAACGAAGGAATGCAATTCTACTTCTAACGCAACGAGATTCAATGCTTTGTCTAATTAGATTCACACACATAAATCGAGATACTTATTTTCATTGGGGTCGATGGTGCAGAAGGGGAAGTTCTCGGCTGCCGCTTGGCTCTTGGTAAGTACGTTGAAGAAAGTCGATTTCCCGACGTTCGGTATCCCGACTATGCCTACTTTTAAGTTAGTGCCCACGCGACCGATGAGTGGTTTCCGCTCGGGTTCCTCGACCTTCTTTGGAGCCATACTGGAAACACGAAGTATCGCGTTAATACTACCGAGTGTGCCCAGTTGCGTTCCAATTCCATGCGCTAAAATCTGCTTCCATCTTCTACAAGGACGATGCTGCGGAACGAGTGGCACGCGGTAGTCTTCAGTAGTTAAGTGCGAGTCGATTTAAGCACGACATTATTTTAACGAAAGCGCATATTCTACTGACGCGATTGCAATTCTTGCAATTTTTATTAGCGGAAAACTTTCTTTGCAAAATAGAGCAACGGAGAAGTGCTGTATTTGTGCACTTTCACTTGAGTATTGATACTTTAATGTATCGTCGCATTATCATTAGGTTTGTACAAAAGATTTGTCATTTTTCTATTAAAAATTTGTTTTCTATTAAATTTTTGTAAAGTCCTCTTTGGGTGTCTCAGAAAATAGCGAGTCAATGATGTTGCTCATTTTATTCTTAAAAATTTATGTGTGTGTGTGTTATGTTACATATCTATTATAGCTGTTCATTCCTCGAAATTAAATAATTTTATTTACCATTTACTATTTTCTTTGACAAATCTTTCGCATCAAGCTAATGCAAACGTAAAAAGCGATGCTGCATTTGTCCCCAAGCACGACTTGGAGAAAATACAAAGCTGATATCGATTATTATTTTTTTTTCAGTAATCAAGAAGCTCTGACAGTCGGATAACTCCGTCAGTGGTCACGAAGAGTTGCTCAAGGGCAGGCTGTCCCCAATATTCGCATCCAGCCGAAATACTTAAGCGCGGCTGCGATATTTCGCGTATGCGTGCGCCGCCCGGAGCGGAGCGAGGCGGAATCCGCTCCCCGGCATCGCTCTCGAGCGCTCGCGGTGACTAATTATATTAATGCGGACGGCACATCGAGTGATTGCTGTATTTACCGTGAGATTGAGCCCCCTCCCGCCTTCTTCTGTCCCGCCGGCATACGACGAGCCGCGTTGTATCAAAGACCGAGAGGGCTGCGCGGCGAGAGGAGAAGGAGGAGGGAGAGTACGGGCGAGGAAGAGGTAGACGCAGAGGCAAAGGAGCAAGAGGAGGAGGAGGAGAAGGAGGAGTATGTCCGGGCGAGGGGACCCGGGATTACTGGGCACCAAAGCCGCGAATCACCGGCATCACGCCGAGAATCCGCAACCGCGCCCGAGGCCGCCAATCCGCCACCGTCTTCGCGGTTCCTGTTCCTCCTCTCCCCACGCTCGACCGTCTACCTCTCTTTTCACCCCCTAGCGGTCTCTCTACCTCCCTCGCTTTCTCTCTTTCTCCTTTTCTCCCTCATCCTCCCCTGTTCGCTGCAGTCGCGCGTTTCAACGCGAAACCACGGCGCCTCGTGGTCGTTTTTCATCGCGGTCTCGGAGGTAGGAGGGGGAATTTGCAAATTACGATAATGGAGGAGCATCTCTCTCCTTCTCTTTCTACAGAGAAGAGCGTTTCGTCCGCGATGCTACCTCGAGAAAGAGAGAGAGAGTCCGAGAGAGCTGCCTTGGCGCCGCGGCGTGACCGACCCACCCCTTTTACGACGTCGTCTCGCTTTGCGGATCGCTAGACGCACACGGTTAATGGGCGATCTCGGGAACGCACCACTCTGATGGGGATTGCGCCTGAGGCCGGTGTTAATCGCGAAAAATCCGCGGGACCCTTCGGCTTTCCCATCTCGACGTGTCCACGTCGACAACGTGACGTGGCGGTCCAACCGAGTGCTCAAATTTTAGACTCAAGACGACCTGGTTCCTTGCCTTGGAATTCTTTATGACGTCAGAAGCGAGGAAATGCACGTCCAAAATTCTTTGTTGCTAACATTATAAACTCAGACTGCGGAAGGACTAAGAGTCTTAATAACGGAAACATTGCGTTGTTATATTCATATTTTCACGTTTCTGAGCAATTTTAACTTTGTCCTGTTCGATATGCATATAATCTAACTTAACTTATTCAGTATCAGTCACGATTGCAATGAATTTCTCGAGCTTACATGCGCGGAGTCAGAGGTTAGAATAAGTACATCGCAAACCTGAAGTCTCATACAACCGCGTCCCGTGAACACTCGAGAAGACAATTCGCTCTCCGGTCTGCTTTCGAGCCGAAATAAGTCCACGCATCGTAAACGACGTACCGCTGCAGCATATCGATTCGAATGGCGCGCTGAGCCTCTATCCCGTCGGCGCTGTTGGCGCCGCTAGACAGTGCTGCCGCGCGACGGCCGGCGAGCAAAGCGCGCCGCCGTGCGCCGCAAAACTTAACCTCACCTGCCAATACATCTGGAAAAAGATATTGCAACTCCGCGAATTAATTGCCGCGACTCACCGCGGATCCATGCAGCTCTCGAGACGTCGTTCACGATGCGAAATCTCGACGAACGCATAGCGGCTGGTTCTCATTCCATCCCTTGTTCACTCACTCTCTCTCTCTCTCTTTCTCTCTCATACGCACTCTCCGAGCGATGTCTACGATCGTTCGCACGCATTTCGCCACGGTCGCATCCGCGAATCAAAACAGACGACAGCATGTCTCACACTCGTTCCGCACGCAGCATACATCGTAATTCACGTCGCAAAATACCTGGCACATTCGCGTCACACAGCCACAGTACGAATATCCACAACGTGTCGACGCGAAGAGAACACGGGGCACTTGACGACGTCACGGCGCGATTCGGCCGGCCGTCCACGGCCTGCAGAGATTCTCCATACCCACCGGAATAACGTCGAGCGCCATCGGCGGAGTCTCCGTCGATAAAGCGTCTTTTCGCCGGCTGGCCGCCTCAACTTGTCCCTGCACCATTTGTTTTGACACCTCGTATTGTGACTTGTCCTCACTCGTCAAACTTTATGCACCAAAATATGTCAATATTGAAAGATATACTAACGTGGATAACGGAAGAAGCTGTTTCAGGTTTTGTTCTCATACTCTCGTACGATCAAATTCAGTCAATCATAAATTTTTTTCCCTAGTATGAACTCATGAAAAATGAAGAAACTAAACTTGAAAATACATGAAAATGTTCACTTTTCATGAGTTTACGTCGGAGGAAAAGATTTATTATCGCGTTTGAATATTGCAAAATTGTCATTTTTTCATGATTTCCTACTAGAGAAAGAAACTACGTGATTAATAAGTATAATCGAGTTCACATAAAAAGATTCATGATTAATGCTCAGAGAGTCGATTATGCATTAACACAATTTAGTAAAAATTACCAAAATTAACGATTTTACTAGAATATTCATATTTCATTGTCTTTTCAGTACTTTTTTGTAATTTGCATTATGTTAATACCCAATCGATACCCAGAAATTTTCGGAGGTATATATTCTTGATCCATCTACTTGTTTCAGATCTTTAACGTCCACGTTAAATTTGCGATACATGTTCAATGTACATATACATATTCCAGCAACTTTATAATATACTCACATGTTTTCTACGTGTGCTCATCCGCCAAAGAATATTTCACGTATTAAGTGCCCTCGCATCGCGTGGCCTACAAGTCGATTATGTATTAACACAACTTGGTCAAAAGTGAACAATTTTATTTTATTTACTCTAGAAGATTTATAATTTCATTGATCAACACCATAATATGAATTTATGGCCTTTTATAATTTTCACCACAATGTGATAATACATAATCGACACTCTGATTGGATGATGACGAGCCGCCAATGAAAATTATGCATTTTTAGGGAACTAGAAAAATCTATAATTTTCGATCGTCTGGTAATAAAAACCATAATGCATCGCGGCTCGGTCCATTAGCTTATTTCCAATGGCTTCTTCAATCGTCTGTCTGGTCGCCTCCTCGCTTCGTGTGACTCGGGTAAGATCACTTCAGATTTTATGCTTGATCAACTTCGTTTTGTCTAAAAACTTCGCGTGAGTGCGTAGCGTCGGGCGCGTTGATATTCACGGGATAGTGACAATCATGATGTATCGCATCGTAGAGTTGTGTCCGACGTGTCATCGCCGTTCTTTGTGTTGTGACACCTTGCGTATTCAACGACGAGAAGTGCAGATGTACGCCCAGATGCAAGAGAATATCACGTCACGGTGTTGTCGACAAAGTGACGAGAAAACGATCGAATCGGGAAGTGAATATTTACCGTCATTTTCTCGCTATTTTGATAGTCACGTTGATATGCTTTTCTGTTCTGTCTGTATGTACGCTACTATCTGCGGTAATATTCCGTCGTGATCTGATTGCGTGGATACGACCTTTGTAATTATTCTCCAATTATGGTCGAATGTGCGACAATTAACGGCGATTAATCGGAATTAATGGGTTAATAGGGCATTGTCTCGATCCTCCAATCAGAGGCGTCGTTTCGCTATAGGGTATTTCCATGTAACAATCGAGATAGCCGAAAAAGACGCCTGCTCTGAAGTTGGCTGCTAGAGTTACGCGTTCCAACGTCCGCCCTTTCCGATTTGGAAATTTGCACGTACTGGTCGGCTGCGCATCGCTCCTCACTTTTTCCGCTGAATGAACAGGTAAGATCGTTTGCTGAACTCGTTCAACTGGAAAAAATTCGCGCGTACTACATCGCGAACGCGAGGGTGCCGGAGTAGAGACGAAAATCGTGCTCATAATCGCAAATCGAGGGAAGCTTGTCGCACGATGTAGGAATATGCGGTGTTCAAGGTCGTCCATGTTGATTTCTCTGTCTCGTTTGCGACAAATTCAGAGGGTCGCGTGCGCCTGCATTATTCGCAATAATATTTCGTTGTCGCCCGAGCGAACGATACGAAGCTTAATATCAGCGATTGATCGTCAGAAAATTCGGGAATTTCGATCGAAGGAGAGGCAGACGGAAGAGAGAGCGACAGAGATATCACACAAATGCAAACGCTTCGCGTAATGGCGACCGAAACTTGTCGAATTTACGCGACCATAATACCCGTGATCGGGAATTGCAGATAGAAACTCACGAGATGTGTGAAATCTATGGTTTGCGTTGTCGTTCGACTTCGTAGTGCATTGCCGACAAAGCCCGCGGCGATGATTGTGTTCGTGATCCTGGATCGCAGGGAGTTCGTCGCGGATCGTGAGGCGCAACGTCCTTCGTGTAGATTCTTCTTCTCGTAACATCGCTGCGGATTCTGCAGCGAAGACTGTTGGTAAGATCATGCTATTATCTAGGAAATATTTCGTGATTATTCAATCGAATAATAGAATGTCTTTCTAATTATAACGGGACATAAATAAATAATTATCGTTACCTCAATATATGTGCTACTTGAAGTTTCAGCTCGTTGAAAAAAAATACAAGAATATTCGACACTATATTCGTAGCGTGAATGAATTCAGACTGAATAGAATATTCTAGTCGGCCGGCCGGTCGCCTTTTATTTTCCAAGTTTTTGCTACAAGAAAAGTTTCGTACACACAGAGAAAGAAAGAAAAAAGGAGTGAGAGAGAGGGGGGAGTGTAGTCGGGAGATAATCTTTGGTATGTAAAACTATTGTCTCGTGCGCGTCGGCCGGTGTTGTTTACATAGCAGTGTTATTCGCGACGCGGAATCGCGAGCATCTTATCGCCTAGTGCTTCGTTTGCAGGACTCATAATTCTCAACCTGTTAAGAAAAGTTGTCGTCATGATACCTGCGGCCTGATTGTCGTAACGCCTACTGAATGAATAGCTGAATGAATAACAGCAATCTGCCAGCTAAACGCAATGAGTATACACAAGTATGTTTACATTATTTATAATATCTCGTCGTAAATCTTCAGGTTGTCACGTCAATAAGTAGTACAGTCTCTAATAAATGGTATCTCTCGCGAGTTTATTTTTCGTGCGGTTATCGGAAACATCGTGAATAAGCATCGTATGAGCCTTTCTCATCTAATTAATTCTCTGCAGCTCGATTTTATTTTGCTTCCGCAATAAATAACTCGGTGAGAAAAGTGGCGAATAGAGATCGTGAGATACAAATTAACATATACAATTATAACAGTTACACACGCATATTTTAATTTACAAAGATATTATCATAATGCATTCTGACACGAGAAACAAAAGTAAATAATTGATATGTATCTCAATATACGCCACTTAAAGCTTTGGTTTCCGTCGTTAAGAAGTTTGTAAATATTTATTCATAAAACAAGCAATAACGAAGTTGTATACTTAATTCTTAAACAAGACAAGGTAAAATTATGGAACACAAATATTGGAGTCATATATGATTCCAATATTTTTGGGTTTACTTTTTTGTTTTCTGTATATTAACATTTTATATTAGAATAAATAAATAGCAATTTAACAAAATCAAATTTTTGTATAAGAGTATTTTTTTAATGCAGTATTTGATTTTTATAGTACAAAGTACGAATTGCATTGAAAAGTATATAAGAGTTAAATGTCCCAATAACTAAACTAATAAGAAAGTATGATCTGTTTTGCATTTTTATTAATAATTAGTAAAATTACAAATAATGTTTATATAAAACCTTGCTCAATGATTAAAAAAAAAAATAGGAAATACAATAATCAATAAATATCAATTGTATATATAACTTTAATGAAATATATTAGATAATACTAGTTGCACCAGCAATTTAACTGCAAAATGAATCATGTCTTAATTACCGAACAGTACAGACTTAGTAATTGAATGGTCATTAAATAATATTACAAATTGGCATAAAGAAATAACTCCTAATAAAATTTCAAAGACATTTTTGGAAATATTAAATACAAATATGTTTTTAACATTTCAATCATTGGAACAAGGTTCAATTATTGGGACATTTATCTTACCGAATAGGATTATCGTTAATCACTTTGTCGTTTAAGGATTAGTTTGTTATTTGCGTAAATTTAGATTGAATAGAATATTCCAGTTTGTCGGCCGTTCGCGTCTTACTTTCTAACGTTCTGCTATGAAAAAACTTTTGTACACCGTAGTCGGGAAGCGATGTATGTTGTATGTAAACAACTATTGTCTCGCGCGCGTAACGGCCGGCGAGCGCGGCAATGTTTATGTAGTAGTATTATTCGCGACGCCGAATTGCGAGCATCTTATTACGCAGTGCTCCGCTTACAGGGCGCGGTCTTAATCCATTGAGAAGAGCTGTCTTTGTCATTGTGACTTCTACGGCCTTATTGTCGTCGTAGCTCCTGTTGATTGAGTCGTCGCAGCAACCTGCCAGCCTGCTCAGTACGCAGTGAGTACACATAGAATTCACACTGTTCATATTATTTATTATTTGCAAGAATATCCCGTCGTAAATCTTCGGCTTGTAATTAATCCTCTATAACTCAATTTTGTGAAAATAGTATAAACATGAGCGTGAGATACAAATTAACATATACAATTAATAGTTACATACATTTCAAGTTTGACATTTCAATTTCATAGTGCACACGCATTTTATTTCACAAAAAAATCAATTCATTTTGGCGAGAAATAGGAGTAAATAATTGACATAAGCAGATTGTATAATAGCAACATTATTTGAAAGTAATAAAATTTGAAACTAATAACATTTGAAAGTGATAATATATAATTTATACGAACAAAATTAAAAAAAATTATAGATATATTGGTAATTAATATCAAAATTACATAACGTTATAGAGGAAAATGTTCTTACGGAATACGCGATATGCGAAACGCAAAAATTCGCGACGAAACAAAAATACTAATTAGTCACGGTGCTCGTTAATTCTCTCTATCTTTTGCTCGGAGTATTTGGTATATTTTACACGAGTTTACGCAAACCAAATCAGATTTAAAAATTATAGATATATATTTAATATGAAAATTACATAATTCTATAGAGGACAATGTTCTTATGAGATACGTGTAAAAATTCGCGATGAAACGAAAATCCAAATTTATTACAGTGCTCGTTGATTTTCTCTTTATCTTTCTCTCTCTCTCTCTCTCTCTCTCTCTCTCTCTCTCTATATATATATATATATATATACACACGCACACACACCCGTGATTCTTGGTGTATTTTTACGCGAGGCAGCTCGTAAACACATCGCGCGTCCGATGTCGATGTCCATCGGTGGACGGATAACGATCGACGTGTTGTAAAGGGCCTCGCGCCGGTACCGCGACATGACGCCAGTCCATGTTTATGAAGTGTCGCTATCACGACACGGCTACAAGTTATGCCGTGTATAGCCGCTTCCTGCCGGGACAGGCTACGAGCGACACGATACGTGCCGCGATATATGAATGCATTCTAGCCGCAACGGGGCGAATGTCATTCGCGTCACCCCGCCGGCCGTCGATATAGAGCCGAAGATTTACGATGGTGAAGTCTCGTGACAATGTCTCGTGTTCGCGACGGCGAAATACGCCCGTCCGTGACGCTGCGGAATATCCGCGCGTAGCATGTTCAATAAGAGCGAACTTTGGCGAATTATTGCGAGCCGTTGTCACGATAAGAGGGACCGAAGATGTCCAACATAGAATTTTTACGAAGCGCGCTTGAGACATTCTGTAATCCGCAGCAGAATTTAGGGTGGAATTCGACTTAGAAAAATGTTTGAGGATTTAAATAGAATTACATGTTCGTGCATCATATGATATTTATTGGCTTATATGATAAAGAAAATTACAAATAGAATTCTGTGCCAAATTCTATTGCGAATTGCAGATTGTTTGAGCTCATTTTAGATGATTTATAATTTATGACATAGATTTGCTCGCAAGGAAATATTTTAAAGAAAAGTATTTTTATTTATAGAAGTTTTATTTATATACGGATTTTTATACAGAGACGTAGAAAATATATACACATACATACTATTTCTATTTCTATTTTATATGTTAAATATTCGTATGTATCAAATTATATGCTTTATGTGTGTATTCGAGGCGCACATTGAATCTTTATTGAAATATTCTTTTTGTATGTATATAACATTTTTATACTACATTCAGAGAAAAACATGATGTTATCTACATAAGTGATAACTATGAGAGTTTTGTATAGAGAGTTTTGTAGAATTGTAATGTATATACAAATTTATAACTCTTCAAAAATAATCTCTCTACATTACACGAAATTTAAAGTAATAAAAGGAACTCTGCTTTTGTGTGTGTGAGAATTATGTCGCAAATTGTAAGTTACACAAAGTGAGCTTTAAATATACAATAGCAGCGCATTATTTATTTGAAATGTGTGGCTTTGTGTTAAAAATATTTTCATATATATTTCATGTGCAAATGTTTTATTTCTATTTTATTATGTGCAAATGCTCTATTTTTATTTCGTTATGTGCAAATGTTCTATTTCATTATGTGTAAATGTTTTATTTCTATTTTATTATATGCAAATATGCTATTTCTATTTTATTATGTGCAAATATTCTATTTCTATTTTATTATGTGCAAATATTCTATTTCTATTTTATATGTCAAATATTCGTATGTACCAAATCATATACTCTTACATGCTTTATGTGTATATTTGATACACACATTGAATCTGTATTAAATATTCTTTTTGTATTCATGTAACATTTTTATGCTGCATTCAGAGAAAAACGTGATGATGTCAACTATATAAGTGATAACTATACGAGAGTTTTCTATATAAAATTGTAATGCATATATAATTTGATAAATTATTTTGTATAATTATTACAATTAAAACTTTAGTTGTGACAATTGCAAAGTAATTTATTAAAAAAATTATGCATTACAATTGTACGTATCAAACTCATGTATAGTTGTCACTTATATAGCTGCTACTACCATGTCTTTTTCTCCGAATGGACGACACTATAATATCTTACAATATAATCACGACATTAACGGAAAGTACTTACCGTGTTTGCGAAAAATTGCAAAATAATCCAGATGGTATGCTGATACCGGTTCCGCCGGCGGAAACCGCTCTGAATTTCGTGCTCGATCGTTAGATCGCCGATGGCTCGTACGTGTGGCGGGTACGCGTGTATCGTGGATAACATTAGGCCCATAATTCGAAGGATAATATTAAGATTGGCACGGAACACAAAATAAAAGGTCGCGCGTCGTGTAGCCGTGACCGTCGGCGCCGCTCCGCGCCGCGCCGTGAGATCGGACAAGGAAAGGGCAGGGCGCGACTATTCGTAACGACGACTTAAACGCGGCCGATTTCTCATTCTCTCGTCGTAAACACGAAAGCGCGTACTCGCGCGTCCCTGCCGAACAAAGGAACCCGGGCGTGCTTTTTCGAACGCACACTCGCTCAACTTTTCGCACACATACTCACGCACCACATTCGGCCGTGCGGGAGACCGCCGTTTCGCCGGTACCGAAATCGCGTTTCTGGCTTCCTCAATTTTCGCTAACATTCGCGCACCGCCAACACATCAGCGAATTCCGCATCATACTTGCAAAGATCTCTGCCGCCGCGTGACAGTGGCCCCCTCGTCTGAATAAATCTTGGGCGTAACGATCGGCGCGGCCCCGCGCTCTCGCCGGGGCGAAATTAGTAACGCAATCCTTCAATTCGCCGAATATCTAATCTGCCGAAATTCCTATAATTCGTGGACCGCTAATATCCTTTTCGATCAGGATTATCGGTCCACACACGAGGCGGGCGGCTGGGAGGGCGAGTGGGAGGGAGAGTGGGTGCAGAGATAAGTTGTGCGCGCCGGCAAGATGCTCTCCGCTGCACCGGTGACGTCAGGGGGTTTGCGGTCTCCAAATTACAATATCGTTAAAACGCCACGGCAGGAGAGCGGGCGGCGGGACGAATGCCCTTTCCCGCCACTCGCTCGCCCGCGCTCGCGTAATAGGCTCATGATTATATGCATTATGCGGGTTAAGATTAATACGGTACGTAATAAAATAATTGAAATAATCGTGCGCGCAATACGCGTGGGCCAGAGTCGGTGGTATTGGTAGCTCGCCGTCGCCGCGGAGGAAGGTACGAGTGAACGATATTGATATCGTGAGGCGAAATGATATGCAATCGAGGACGAGTGCACTCGATGATTCGATACCTCCCGATACGATAGCCACTTGTTGGCCACGGAACGTTCTATTTGTGCATTTAGGAATTGAAGGTAAAGGCAAAATCGTTTTGAATCAGCTTAATGTACGTACATTCGAGAAGCGAGACTTTAAATTTAAAGTCTTGCTTTAAATACGTACATGAGGTTCATTCAATAGTCTTTCCTTATAAACATTGAACAAGTATTGATATAAAGAAAGCATTTTTTAAGGAGAAGTATGTCAATTAAATTATTGGTAACGAAATATCTATACATTTCGGAATTTAATGTAAACACAAAAGTATTTTGAATCAATTTGAAGTATATGCATTTAAGGTGAGATCTTAAATTTAAAATATCGCTTTAAATGTACGTACAGCACCGATCAAAAGTTTGAGATCAGTGATGAAAATGTTTAATTCAGATAATTTTTCTTAATAAACATTGTTATCGATGATCTCAAGCTTTTGACTGAGATACTATATATATTAGGTTTATTCAAACGACTTTCCATAAACATTCAACAAATGTTCATATGAACAAAGCATTTTTTAAATAGAAATATATCGATTTATGAACTGTATTCTATAGGAAAATATTTCTGAATCAATCTAGTAGAAATTTGTACGGTTTTTTTAGGGCTAGTTGTTCCAACTTCTTGTTAAATTAACTGATAGTTAAATCATATAATCTGTCTTTGTTTAAATTGAAGGAAAAACAAAGACAGATATATGATTTAATTATCAGTTGACTTACCAAGAAGTTGAAACAACCAGCCCTTAGAAATACAAGGTAAAAATATCAATGCCTGAATATAAATTTAATTCTGGATATTTTTATTGTTTTGCTCTTTAAATACGAATGCTTAACTTCCAACATAGAATATGTATACATATGAATACACATATACATTCTATGCTGAAAGTTTAAGTATTCTTACTTAAAGACCAACACAAAAAGAATGTCCAGAATCAGATATAGGCACTGGTATCTCTACCTCGAACGCTTTGGGATATAAATCTTTGGAAAAATTCGCAAAGGATCATGTAAGATTTTTACGGCAGACCTCTTTCATCTGTCTGGAGTAAAAGTGTAGACACATAATTACCCAAATGATGCACATGAAAAAATGCGTAACGATCGGCCGCAGTTAGCTGCGCGAAGCGCATTGTTAGCGCATCGGCGATACGGTTGTATGTTATTGCGGCATTATCGCGCA